CAAAGTCTTTATGTCTCAGTGAGACAACTAAGCCGGCCGGGACAGACAAAGGATTGGGAAGATAAACTCCTACGTAGTGTGCGGTGCCTATCTATCTAGCAGCAACCTCGTCTAATAATATCTTGACAACGCATATGGCCTGACATAGAGCATACATGAAGACGGTCTGATACCCGAGTTGTCTCAGCTCATCATCTGTTATCTATCTGGTCGACCATTCGGGGATATCCAGAGGCTCAAGGGGAGCGGCGCAGATTCGTGGAGGTGTATGAAGTCTGGAACTAGTCTTCCTTTCGTTGTCAGGTTTTGCTTGGCTGGGTGATTGCTGCTGTTGTCGTTGTTGAAGTTGGAGTTGGAGTTGAAGAACCTTGACGACTTCGTGGCAGCTTCTCTGTCTGTCTCATGATTGTCTGGGCTTCAGCATGGCTTGCATGCAATGTGTGTAAACCCGGGCCGGCGGCACTGAGTTGTAGTCGGGAGTCGGGAGTCGGCAGTTAAGTCATGTGTCCCCGTGTCAACGTGACCGTTTGAGTCGTTGGCGACTTTAGACTGGACAAACCGGACAAGCCCAATATGTAGGTGTTAGCCTGAACCTTTTTTTATGGTTGGGTATTAGGAAAGATATCAAATCGAACGCAAGGCCCGGGCGTTTCGTCAGAACATGTCGAGTCGGTTTCCCCAGATTTCGTCCACTCCCGTCCCTCCCGCCGCTCGCCGCCGCCGGGGATACCTACTTGGGTACATGTAAGGACGGAAGAAGCAAGGGGTGGTGCATTGGGGTTTTGGACTGATGTCGGTCGTCGAGATCGCTTTAAACGCTTTGACGCTACCTACGACGTAACCGACAAGCAGCATCGGCCATCGAGTATCGCTATTCTTTGATTTCCCTCGAGCGAATGCCGTCTGTTCGGCAAGCATCCGATTTCCATTCATAACATTCATGCTATGTCGTCTCGTCGGTCGTCGCCTCATATCAAAGCTCAAGCGACCGACGCCAATCTCCAATGGGAGAACCTTCGCTTCCACTTCCCGTCCCTAGCACGTAACAAGAAAGAGCGAGGAACAAAAAAAGAGTAGCGGTGAAGTAGGCAGTGCCAAAACAGCCCGATTATCAGAAATAGGGTATACATGAAGCCTTTCCAAACTGGGGATGGATGGGATGGGGGGGATTTACTAGTGTACTGTGTATGTACTACGCACACGCACACAGTGCTTCTATGACATTGGGTTTGTCACTGTCGCTGGCCACTTCAGATTGAGTTGTACGCAGTACTACATAGTAGGTCGGGTATCTCCCAAAGCTGGGGTCCATCTCCACACAATTTGTACAGCGAGATTTGATATCACGGTTATTTGAAAAACCCGATGGCGGATGGATGGCCCAAGCTTGAAAATATGTGAACAATGGTAAGAAATGTAAACTTGGAGATGCGATGAACTGAAATGGCTGCCGAGCCAGAAGAATCACACAGTGTGGGGATTTGGGAGGGAACTTGAGTTGTTGAGACCACTCACTGCACTGCAGGCAAGAAGTGATGGTGTCGTGGACGGAACGGTGGGGGGTGCATTCTGGGACCTGAGCACACCAAGAGATGCCCGCTAGGAGGACAAGCTGCAGCGGCAACACCGTGACACCCTCCTCGTTTTCGTTTCACGCGTTCTGGACGTGTGCTTTCATAGAATGTCTTTGCCTTGGCTTCCGCTGCCACCGAGGACGATACTGCTGCACAGGTCTCAAGGATGCATCAATCAGCCTTCAAATGAGTGTGCAACCATACCCATTAATTCGATATGCGACATAGTGTATGTATGAATCTTATGATCTGCGTCGGCCTGGAAGTGGTAAATGCTCGAATCGAACGAACCGATGCGTCGTCGTTACTGTCGTGTATGCAAGCACTTTAACAAGGTGGGTTTGAATGAGGTACGTACTGTAGGTGAGATCGCTTCGCTGCAATGTCCGGGCCCGTGATTGTTTGGTTCTCATTTCTCATTCCCTGCTTGACGGCACGACGGCGATAAGATAAACGTTTGCGACGGTGAATTGGGATGCACCGAAATGACCTTCATCGACAACAAGAATCGTCCCCCACTCGGGTTTCAAGGGGAACAACAGGGTCCATCGGCATCTACAGTATGTACCAGCATGTCCGACCTAAGTGCCCCCTCCCCCTCCCCCCCCCCCCCTCTTCCCGTCTCGAGAAAAAAAGGTACCGTCACCGAGATGAACGAGTTGAGCCGAGTGATAGCGTGTGATGGCACTTTCAGCGAAATGGTCTGTGATTTCGACATGTCGCTGATTTGTTCCGGATCTTCAATTTACAGTAAAAGCTGACGATCCCCATTCTTCCTCTGGATCATATAGGAAGGTTATGTACATAGTAGTGTATAGCTCGGCGTATTTGACAGACGGGATTGTCGAGTCCCTGTCCATCACTTTCATGACGACCAGAGGAAGAGCGATGCAAATCAACAACAATGATAGAATCTAGTGTAGATTGTCGTCACAAAGGAAAAAAAAGGAACGACGGGATGACGGGAGTTTGCCCCTTTCGTCACCCGTCCACGCCCCACCCTAGCCCCGAACGTCATGATGGGACGGTCTGGCGGGGAATGGGCTTATGCACTGGTTGATATCAACACAACGTGAATAAACCCCAATTCCGGCAATTGCTCGCCATGATTCAAGCGGCGAATTAACCGTTAGTTTGGGGATGACCTCTTTCTTGTCGTTAGATTTGTGTGTAACTTGTCGCTGGTTCGCATCTCTGCAGTCCTGTCGGGCCTCTTGAACCCTTGTGGGGAACCCCGTTCATTGTGAATCTCCGAGCACACCACGATGAATTCCACTTTACTTTCGTCGTTCATCCGTTCAACCACTGGTGGCGTGCAGGTTGGTTAGTTTGGAGAGCTGTCCTATGGTTGCCTTTCTTCCCGTCCTGCCCTGTGCAACCTTCTGCGGCACGGAACACAAGAAGCACAAGTTCAACCGGGGCGCCTCCTGTTGTGATTTCAGAGATGCAGTCCGCGTGCAGGTCGCCGATGAGGACAATACAACACAGTCTACGGCAGATAAACGACTTAACCAGAGGAAAAGTCTGGCAAGCAACGAAGGGACAACAAGAACAAGCCCCATACCTAGGTTCCTACATAAAGCTACGGCATATGCAGGTGAGACTAGAAGGGCACGATTGTCTGTCACTGAATTTCTGGAAGCTTGGGGGGTTGCTTTCGGGTGTCTCGTTGGAACGGGTGGTGAAGACACCAGCGTCATCTTCGCCAATCAGTGGCAAGCTGTGGCCCCAACCCCCCCCCCCCCCCCCCTGTCTCCCCCAGAGTCCCAGACAGAGTCTCGGTTGTGGTCCCTTCTGTCTCTGCACCTCGAACGCCGCTCAGGTTCGCTGATGATGATGGAAGGGTCCGGGCGGGTTTTCAACCATCTGAGCCGTCATATAGGGGTAGTTATTCCCAGTTGCGACACAGTATCTCGTCAACGGGATTAGCGGGATCACAACCTTTCCGAGTGTCACTATCGCAGCGCTCTCAAGTCAACTACAATCTAGACGCGCCTTCCATCATGTTTCTAGCCGTCTCGTCCGTGAAGTGGGATACGAGAGTGTCAGTAAGGTACGTAGGTACTCTGATACATCCAACGCAAGAAGCTTACAGTGATTGGAGCTCGACAAGACGGGCTGAGCCGGCCCCAATTCAGGGGATAGGCGAACAAGACTGGACGTCTGGAGTTAAACCAAGCCAACGCCTCTATCACTTGCGTATTCCGAGACACTGTAGAGTCGCAATGACAAACGGCCATGAATTACATACAGACAAGAAGACGTCTGTCAGAACTGACAGTGGAGGGGCGAGAGGGGGACTCCAACACTTTCCGTAGGCCTTGGGAGTTTGCGTGGGTGGTATCCAACCCAATCCAATCTGAGCTGTCACAACCAGTCAAAGCGCGCTGACGGGGTGACCTCGCCACAGGGCTGGGGCGGCCTAATCTGCCAAAAGGTGATAGCGCAGGCCACACTGCCCTCGTCCATAAGAAATTATGCATCCACGCACCCCTCAACCGCCGTCTGCAACACGCTGTCGAAGCGGCACTGTGTAATAACTATACGGAAAGGCACTGGAAACGAGAGGCCAAAGCCATTAAGGTCGGGAGGGGTGTCAGGTTCTACGCTTCTGGTTGTTTTTGAGAGGCCATAGGAGTATGCAGACAGCCGCCCACGATACCCTCACCAGATCGATTTGCCCAAACAAACCGTTGTGCATTATGGGGTAGGAATCCGGCATCCATTCTTTGGCAGGTCGTAGAGCATCTGGAAACAAAGACAGTCAGCTGTGGCTCACAGTGTGATCATCTCAACACAAGTAAATTTGGGCACGCGAAGTACTTAGCCTCAAACGGAATCGATCGGCTACGTCTCCCTTGCCAATGGAGCCAGGACAGAGACGCTAGGGTTTTGAGGCACAGCGGCGTCTTGCCCTGCTGCCAGTTCCCCAATGGAAGCCCTCGGGCCATCGTCGATGACCCGACCTAGCGGCTCCTACGGCTCCAGCTGGGACAACACGGGGCTCCTCGGGCCCGCAACCACAAAGCGAACTGAAAGGGGAGAGGAGACAAGAGACGAGGGGACGAGTCAAGATCAACTCGTAACCCATTTTCCCCTTCCCAACCCAGGACGTTGATCCGGGCCACGTTGTGAAGACAGGATAGGAAAACCTGTAACTGTTGAATACCGTGACCGGAAAATTTTTCGGGTGTTGCGGATAGGAAGAAAAGCGAGGTGCAGCATCCAGGACGTGGTCACCTTAGCACTAACCACGAGATACTAGTCGCAGGCCGACAGGGTCAATCTCGGCTTCGTCAATTGTTCGTCAATTGTCGTAGGTAGAGTTACTCATGGTATCAGCCAGTCCAGGGGTTTTGCTGGCACATAGTCGTGAAGTTCTGAACGATGACGGACGGACTATCGAACCAGACAATGAGATGGACAAGAAGAAACGCGATTCGGGCGAACCATTCTCGTCATAGGTATTCTGATAGGTTATGACGAACATTTTGGCGATTTAGTTCTGTTTGAGGGACGTTTTTGTGAGAGTCGTGAGTAGCAGGCAGGTTGGCAGGGCAGGCTGCTGTGTCGCAGTGGGTGGTTCAAGTGAGTTCACTGCAATTGAGGACAGGACAGTTTGCGGCACTGGGTGTGGCTACTCAGGTGGGGTTGAGTGTGAACCTTGGGAGTTCTTGGCGCACACAAGGCAACGCCATCCAAAATCGAAATTGCACACCAGCAGGACAGTGTGACCAAGCCGAAAGCGGACTCGCAATATGGCGCCCAATGGTACGCAACAAAGACCCGCTTTTCTGCATGCTAGTGTCTCGCCACCCCGTTCTGCGAGCGGAGATGGAACAGGGTCACAAGAGGCATGGCCTGTGCGGTTTTCATCAGCCATTTCAACCATCTGTGCCATTCACGCCGTTCCCATTCGTCGACCGGGCGGCGCCTCTGGCGAGAGGAGCCCAGGCCATTGCCTGTCATCCAGACTGGTTCCGTCCAATGCCTGAGACCCCGGTGCGCTAGTAGCGTCCCAGTTCCAGCCCAGTGTGCCCCCCACATTGGCACCCCATCATCCCATTGGCGACCCCGTCGAGAAACCCCATCTGTCGGGCCACTCACAGCTGGCAGCGGCAGCCAGAGTGGGCCGGATTATGGTGGGACGAAGTGGGCGAATTGGACAGATCCATTTGGGGCCCCCTGGGGGACCCACTCGCACAGCGCTGGTGTCCAGCGCACGTCGCCTGTTCCGATTGCTCTTCCATTTCGTCCCTCCTCCCTTCGCCTCTTCCCTACTTCTTCACCCGCCTCGTCCCCGTCAAACCACGTCCAACCCTCACCCTCGATCTTCTGCACATTTGCAAGCGACCACACCCAACAACCACACAAAAAACGACAACATCTTCTCTGCACCCTTTCCTCGACTTTTGCCCGACTTTTTGCCTGCGCCCACTTTAAGTTTCGAACATTCCCTCGACAGTCTTTGATCGCTCCACTGCAACAGCCTTGGTTTTGGTTCCATTGTTGCTGTCTCACAATACCTGGGTTTAATACCGCACAACTCCCGGCTTGGCCAAATCAAAACCACACAACGCACACACGCACAACCACAGCCATCATCACCCATTCTCCGATCCCGCACTTGGATTTGGCTCTTCCTGGACCGATTTTGCTCGTCTTCAACATCGCACTCCCTGACCGCCACTCATAATGTCTTCGTACTATCACTCCTACGCCCACCAGCAGCCTACAGCCGCCGCTGCTCCTGCAGTATCCCACGCTCACCATGGTGGGCGTAACAGGAGAGCTCCTAGGCTATCTGTTTCCCAAAATACGCATAAGCAGTTCCGTGGTGTCCGGAGTATGAAGGACTTGTCCGAGTCTGTGTCCGTGACCTCGTACCGCACAAAGTACGAAGCTGGCCGCTCTTTTGACCTCGAGGACGACATGGAGTTTTGCCCCGGCCTTTTGACCGATGATGATGTGAGTAGTTCACTAGACGAACTGGACCATTGGCCTGCTCCCTCTCCAAGTCGCTGGCACTAACCCGCCTTCCCTCCTAAAGTTGGTCTCCATCCACAGCGCTTCCTCTGAGCGCTCCTCCTTGGCAAGCAACTCGCCGCAAAGCTCTCCTACGCAGCAGCCCACCACCATCGCCCCAGGCTTCTCGCTCAACTCTCCCTATCTTCCTCCGGTCTACCAAAGTCAACAGGCGACCCTCAAGCTTCACCAGCCCTCTGCCACCCGCGGCCGTAATGCCATCCCCATTATCAACCCTGCTACTGGTATCACCATGACCAGCCCACCTCCCTCGGTATCGCCCGCTCGGATGCAGCAGCCGCAGTCCCTTATGGGCGCTCGGCCACGTTGGTAGGCGACTGATGTCTCGCTTCGTGACGCAGACGAGACTAGGCCGACCTAGACCGTCGTCGCCGTTGCAATATGGACTGTACACGTACTGCCTCATTTCGCATGCTCACTGCAGATGCTCATCTTGGCGGGTACCACCGACGTTTTCTCAACAATCTTTAAGCAGGCAGGCACTACGATGATCTTCTCATTTTCCCGGCAGGCAGGGGGCGACAAACCAATTTCCTACTGGATCTTCGACCTTTTCGGCAACCTTTTTTCCGATACCCAACCTGTACAAACATCCTTTAATCGACATAAGCTCCTTTCCCTTCCTGAAGCGAAAGTTCTTGACATTTTCGGACGGCGCAAAAAAACGAAGATTCATCGGTACCTCTTGTTTGTTTTCGAATACCCAAAAAAGCGTGGTGGTGTCTATGGCTTCGAAAGATGGGGCTGCTTTGATTTTTTTTCCACGAAACGGGTGTTACAAAGGTGGTCGTGCATCCACCGAACTACTAATCACTTCACACACAACAACTTGCATCGGCGTCTTACGACGGAGTTCTCGGCTTTTTCCTCGCCTCGGCGACTTTTGTCTTATTTTCTCGTTTATTTTTTCGATACCATACACACGGGGTTTTGGTGTTTCGTCATCGTCACTAAGAAGCGGCGACTTCAGTCACATGATAAAAAGTCATAACGGTTCAACGGGTCCACGAATTCATCAAAGAAAAAGATATCGACATATAGAGCGACTTTCGATGGGTTTTTAGCAGGTTGCGCTATGTGGGCGGGAGGCTTTTGCAACCTTGGGTGTTCTCGAATTTTTGGGGGCTACATGGGCAAATCTTTTTTGGGAGCAGGCAGGCAGGCAGGCAAAGACCTCTTTTGTCGTTTTGGTGTCGCGCGGAATCTCAACTTGAAAGCTGGAATTTCCGGGGTGTACGGGAATGAGGAGTTGGTCTGAAAGTATTTCGGGGATTTTCTGTGTTGTTTTTTTTTTTTTTTTTTTGGTTCTCCTATGTTCCGGATTTTCTTTCCGCCTGTATCATGAAGGGATGGTAGGCGCTGTGCTACGGCTTAGCCCCGCCTTTGCTTTTCTTTCTTCTTGTTGATTTTGGGATTTATTTCTTCCAACGGGGAAACTTTGCATCTCTCGGATCTGGCTCGGTGTGTGGAAAGATATCAGCGTGTCTCTTTTCTCTCGTCTCTACTATTCATGGGGAAGGCTGGCTCGGTTTTGTTTTTGGCACAAAGCATCATCATTTCGGGGATATCCTCTGTTTTTTTGGGAGCGGGCGTCGCTTAAGCTTTGCTAGTGTGTGTCTTCCATATCCATGTTATGAGGAGTTACACTGGAAAGGGTTGTGTGTTTCTGTCTGCTACTTGCTGGGATGTGGGCGATTAGCTCCGAACTGGCTGCTTTGTCCCGGTCGAGTCATCATCTTACGTGTGACTCTTGTCGACCGCTCGACTCAAAAAGCTTGCGTGTGAATGAATATTCGGGATCTATATTCCTGAAGAAAAGATTTGCGAGTTATACGGCGAGCGATCGAAATAAATACAACCGCCTCCTTCACTCATATCTTGCTCTTTCGACTGCCTTTTGTGACTTGGTTGTGTTGCCTTTGAGTGTCGTGTACGTGTGTTTGACTTCCGCTCGCAAGGTTCACGTCGACAACACCGTGTATTTACAAAGACAGCCGCAAATATACCTTGACACTTCTTTGTGCCCCCTGTCACTCCATGAAAAATCAACCGCCTCGATATTGCAAGATAACCCCTCAAGACTCATACAACGCAAACTTCGGACCTTGATTTTTTCCAGAGCACGGGGTCCTATCCTTGGCCACTAATAATTTTACATCCTCCAGTAAAATCGGGCAGTGTGTCCATGTTTCTGGAAAGAGCTTGTATCTATGCTTGTACTAATCCTATGATTTAGTAGACAGATGCTTCGAGCGGGTTATACCTAGTGTAGTTGCAGATGATTGCGATACTGATACTGATACTGTTACTGATACGAGGCGAGATGACTGAAAATTGTTTGAACTTGAGCGAAACTTGGTGAGAATTAATCAAGTAGTTTTTTTTCCCGTCGGAGGGAAATTTGAAGTCCAGCCGGAGATCCGTTTTTTTGTTCTGTTCTATCGCCTTGGACACTGCGACTTTATTCCTTTTTCACTTTACCAACGAATGAGTTGTCGATAAAACTGGTAATCTTTTATTGGGTATCAGGGCGTCATGTTGGTTTTTGAGTCGGTAAGTGGACATGGGAAGTTTACGAGGTTAACGCAGGTGTCATTCACTCGATCATATCTGGATCCATAAATTTGATAAACCTAAAGCACCAAAACGAGTAACGCTAAGAGGGTCAAAGAGATGAATATTTTCCATCTTGGTGATACGTTCAAACGCCTCTGTTTACAATCGCTGTAGTGGTGACCAATCTTGACCGAGTGACGATGCTCATGGTGATATTTTGACCTGGGATGATGTTGAAGATATGAGATGAAAGCCAAAGGTTCGAGATAGCAATTACTTTCGACATCCTCACGCACCTCAACGTTCTTGGGATGGGATGGGGTGTGTATAAAGGTTCGCTGGCTTCAAGACTCCTCCCACTTTCTATTTCTTTCACGATTCCTTCCTGCGGCGTGGATAAATATCGACTCGCTGCGAGACTGCAATAAATTATTTCTTCTCGTACTTTCTTGATTTGGTGAGCCTTCCGCCACTCGTCCTTTATAATACACCCAAACGCAGCCAACGATGCCTTGGCTCATTCACTATTAACTTGACCACCCATCACTACCATCACTACCATCACTACCATCACTACCATCACTACCATCACTACCATCACTACCATCACTACCATCACTACCATCACTACCATCACTACCATCACTACCATCACTACCATGCCGCCCTCCAGCGACGACGAGATTCCCCTCTCCAGGCGTGGTGCACACACCTTTGACCTCAACCGCCTCGAATCCCGCCGGAGAGCAACATTCGGAAGGGCCGCAGGAGGTACCAGTACCTCCAGCACCAACGAGCCACCCCAACCTGAGATTATCCCCATTCAACGTGACACTGAGCCATCAGGTTCCTCTTCTTCGCCAGTGTCCTCCTCATTCATTACTGCCACTGCCACTGCCACTGCTTTGTCTTCCGCCACCACTCCGTCAGCCAGTAACCACGAAAAGAACTTCAAGGAGCAGCAACGGCGGAGACTTATGTATCTCCAGGAAACTAGGCAGAACCAGCAGCAACACAAGCGGCAAACGCAGAGCCAGGTCGGTATCCACCCGCTCTCAAAGTCATTCACTGCCAACGCCAAGAACCGCGAAGTGCTTGACCTAGACACCCCGCCCCCTCCGTCTCACGTTTTGTCCTCTCCGTCGAACGAGGCGCATACTGCTGCTAGTATTTTAGAGCAACAGGTACAACAGGAGCATCAACAGGCTCAACAGGCGCAGAAGTCTCAACAACATCAGCAGCAGCCTCAGCAACAGCAGGGGCACCGGCAGCAACAAGACGATAACGAGATCGCGATCAGAGAAGAGAGCCTAGAACTTCTTGAGAATTTGGCCTCGATTGCCTCTGACGACATGAACAGAGGTAACAATGGCGGCGGCGGTGCCTTTGGCCGCAATGACAGAGATGACGGCAGCAACAACAACAACAACAACCACGGTAACAACAGCAACAAGAGACGTGCAGAGGTAGACTTAGAGAGACCTACCACTCGTCGACTATTCTCTGGCATCACAACACCAGGAAGCATGTCTGGCTCTGTCTTTGGTTCGTCTGACTCCGTCTTTGGCCCGTCTGGCTCTGGCGTGGACGTTGGTCCGCATGCCCCGGTCTCGGGCGCTTCACCCCCTCAGACCCCGACGCGTCCTGCTTCTTTTGACGTTAGAGAGGGACCGGGTAGTGGTGGTGTTGCTGGTAATCGTGGCGGTGAAAGCCCTTTTTCACCGTTCAGCCGTGGGGCATCTCCTATGCCCCAAGCCCCCTTTTCTCAAGCTCCAAATTTCTTCGACCAACCTCGTACTCCCGGTGCTGTGACCATGACGGGAGCTGCTCGGCAGAGGGGACAAGTGGCTCCGGAGAGAGGAGAGAGAGCCGGAAGTGTGGCTTCCGTGACGAGCATCACCTCGCGGAACGGACCCCCGATGGCTAACCCGAGTTTGCCTAATTTGCCTCCTGATGGGTTAGTATTTCCCCTCACTATTAACAAGACAAGGAGCAAATACTGACCAATCTCCTACAGAACCAACTGGCTCACCGGTCGCATCGTCGTCGTCTCCGTCGGTGCCGAGCGCCGCAAATGGAATGTTCACGAACAGCTCCTCAGTTATAACTCCCCGTACTTCAAGCGTCTCTTCAACCCCGAGCCCGAGCTCGTTGAAGGCTCCTCTTCCTCCTCCGGTGATAATCACAACCAAAGCACCGCCGCCGCAAACGCGGCACCCGGAGAACCGATCGAGGAAGTCCACCTCCCCGCCGCCGAACCGAAGCTTTTCGCCCTCTTAATCCGCTGGCTCTACGGCACAGCTTTCGCCACCTCAGGTGGCCAAAAGGTCTTCAAATTCCCCCCTCCCCAACTCAACCAAGTCACCGTGCGCGACTACCTCGGCCTATACATCCTCGGCCAAACCGTCCAGCTCCCGGGTCTGCGTAACGCCTGTATCGATGTTCTTTACCACTACTACGCCGCTGAGACCGAAGAGGTGCGCGTGCCCGACTTGCACGACGTGCAATACATCTTCGAGAATACCAAGCATGCGCCGGATTCACAGATGAGAAGGCTGTTAGTTGCTCATTGCATGTTTCATCTCTTCGGCGCGAAGAGGAGGGGCCCATTGCCCCCCGACTGGCAGGAGGTTATAGAGCCACGGTGCACGGTGTCGTTCGAGATGTTCAAGATGTTGGCGGATTGGAAGTGGGTGATTGGCGAGAATGTGCCGACCATGAAGATCAAAGCTAGACATGCATTTCATGAGAAGCCGCGGCCCGAGGAGCTGTTGCCGTGGCATAAGGCGCAGACCCAGGACGAGGCGGGGATGCCGCTTGTGGGGGTGGTGAAAGCTGAGCCGGTTGATGAGTAGAGGAGATGGGCTGGGAACCTTCTTAGGATGGGGAGGGTGATGATGTGGTTGGACTTTTATAAAGGTCCGGCCATCCGGCGTCAGATAAGAGGGGTGAGCGAAAGAAAGAAGGGAAGGAGATTTGACGAGATGTTCATGACAGAGTGGTTGGTGACAACGGGAGAATTGATGGAGGAAGTAGGATAGGTTGTGCTTGCCCTGCCAGCAGAAGATGGCCTCTCGAGAAACTAAGCTTTTGAGTTGGAGGAGGAAAGCACGAAGCTACTTACCACGCTCTTACCATGTTAATCAAGAGGGCTTCGTCATTCACAGACGGGCATCATTAGGGTTTGTCCACTCAAAGGATTTCGGACGTAGAGGAGCTCAGATCGTCCAGGAATCGAAGTGGAACATTACCTTCTCGTAGGTAGCTTCATAACACTGCAATAATACATCCGCGATAGCACCTTTGCCCATTCTGTCAAGTGATCCCACGCATGATGCATGTGTCATCTGTCACCCCCTCACATTACCTATCAGTGGAAAGCACGATAAGGTACGCCCGAGGTGGTACTGATATTTCGGTACTCCCATACTTCTAGCCTCACAAATCTCAGAGCCATGGAAACAGTTATAACAAGACAACGTTGAGGCAAAGAAGGCCAAAACAACGAACCATAACCACACTGATCACGCACTAATCATAACCACAAGAATACTACTGAAATATCCCCGACAATCACTCAATCATGTCGACCACTAGCCCACAACGCATCCCAAAAGACGGATCACCCAAAACCATCACCATCAAAGAAATCCACCCAACGTTCGGAGCAGAGGTCCCCGGTATCCAGTGGGGAGACAACGGCGTCATCAGCGATGAACAACTTCAAGAGCTCAAAGATACCGTGCACAAGGCCAGTACTGCACTCTTCCCCTTTCCCCTTTCCCCTTTCCCCCTTTCCCCCTTCCCCTTACCCCCCCTTCGTCCCCAGAGACCCCACAAAGCCCTAATTTCTGATACCACCCCAACTTTAGTACGGCTTCATCGTCCTCCGCGCCACGCCCCTAACCGACAGCACGCACGTCTCGTTCTCCCGCCTCTTCGCCTCCGGTCCACTTGACGACATCTCCCGCTTCCTCCCACCCGGCCGCGTCCCCCGCTACTACCCCCACCTCGAGCTCTTCGACGCCAGCAACCTGTCCGACGACGGCCGCGCGATCCTGGACCCTTCTTCGTCTCCACGAGCCATGCTCCTCCGTGCCAACTCGTTATGGCACTCGGACCTAGCATATAACCCGCGGCGGTCGAGTTATTCGTTGCTAAGAGCCGTGGAACTGCCTTCTCGGGGCCCGGAGACGGGGGAAATAGAAGGAAACACGGAGTTTGCGGATAGTAGGACTGCGTGGGAGGCGCTGGCTGCCGAAAAAAAGAGGGAGTTGCTGACAAAGGATTGGACGGGGGTGTATAATGCTGCTCATAGTCGGAAGCTGGGGGCGCCTGAGTATTTTGGAGACCTGAATCTGGAGGAGGGTCCTATGGCGAGGCATAAGGTTGTGCAAAAGCATGTAGAGAGTGGGAGGATGAATTTATGTGTGGGTGCTTATTTGTGGCGGTTGGAGGATGGGGAGGGAGAGACGGCGTCGGGGTCGGAGGAGATAATAGAGTTTTTGAATGAGCATGTGGCTAAGAAGAGGTTTGTGGCGAGGGTGAGGTGGGAGCAGCCGGGTGATTTGGTGATTTGGGATAATAGAGCTGTATTGCATCGCGCTGGTGAGTTTAAGGGTGTAGGTAAGCATAGAGGTAGGAGGGATATGAGGAGGACGACGGCGTTCGACCAGGGCCCGACGGCTTGGGGACTTAATGGCGAGGGGGCGCCTTTGCCTACATTGGAGAGCATAACGAAGGAGAAGGGGCTGCCGTTGACGCAATCGGCTGCGGTTGAGAGGTGATTTTTGATGGAAAAGCCAGGGCGAGGTAAGAGTTTGTTTGGTCATTTCTATGGTGAAGGACAACCTTCTTTGGGCCATTACACTAGCTCGTCCGCTTGTTTGTACGTAAAGCTTTGATCGACATTACTTGTATGTTTATGATTAAAATGTCACTATTGCCCTTGAAGTGATGCGTACGCCTATCAGCTTGAGAGCCCATGATCCTATCATTGACAGTACCCCCCACAGAAGAGAAAAAAACACAACACGGGATTAGGGGTCATACCAGTCCAAGTCTGATAGTAAGAAGCGTTTTCCGTTTGGTCGCATGGCCGTTGTCTAGCCACTCACCAGGCATTCATCAAATAAGAGATATTCGATCCATGATCTCGAAACCAATACTTTACTTGTCCAGCCCGCGAGCTTTGACAAACCTATTGATCTGCTCCCGAGTGTTCTTGTCATTGTACTGCTCATGGCATTCATAGAAGGAGATCAACTCCTGCGTGCAGTCCACCATGGCCTCAATATCAATATTACTGTCAGACAGCCATGCAGCAAATCGGTGAACCTTTGCCATACGTGGGTTCTTGTTCCCTTCGGCTGGGCCTTCTCCGGCTGGTGACTGGGGTGGAAGCATGGCTTGCAAGCCAGAAGAAGACTGGGGGGCGAGACCTGGCACAGTCTGGCCACCCCCCGCCATCATCGCAGCGCGTGCCTGTGCTTGCGCCTGTGCCTGCGCCAACGCTGCCGAAGCGGCTACCAGTCCCGAAGCCGACGCGGCTGTTCCAGGGAGACGACCGCTGGGATCCTGACGCAGCACCAGAGCCAAGAGAATGGCTGTCAAGGCTATCACATGTGGTGGGTGGAGCAGCGGCAGATCGGTCATATAATGGTCGTTGATGACGGACCAGGCAAGGTTGACGTCCTCTTGCGCCAGCCCAAGCTCCCCTTGTAAGCTGGTAAGGGTACGATAGGGTGAATGGACAATGAGATGTGAGCTCATTTCCGAGATAAGGTAGAACTCGCATTCTCCTATCCTTGCCACTTCTGTCTGGGATTGGAAGTCGGTAGGCCAAAAGCCGCGGGCCTCGTTGGCCATAAGCCGAATGTGCTGGGGACATTCCTCCATCTTGCAGGCCAGATATAGGGCGGTCACGAGAACGTGGTGTGGATTGGTGCGCCGGATCTCAACTTTGGTGTAGAAGCGCTTGATGTAGACTTGGGCGGTGGCCAAGGCTTGCTGTCGTAGCCCCATGCGCTTGCCGAGCCGGTTGATTTCTAGAGTAGAACCGAAGTATGTTGGCGACTCTGTTCATCGGACAGACGGACGGGTGGACGGGGTAGGGGACATGGAGAGATACGACGAACGTTGGTTGAAGTAGATGTTCAGATGGCGCAGTTGCGGGAGAGGAAACGAGGCCACCAGGTTGGGATCTTCAGCCTCTAGCTTTGCGCGCATAGCGGCAAGTTCATCTTTGGTAAACAGCCAGTGTTTGCGCTGAGTGGATTCCCAGTAATTGGCCGCCATGGTAACCGTGTGTGTCTCTGTGCCTCGAATCGCTGTCTGGTGTCTAGCTGTGTCCTTCCTAAGGCGCTGCAGACATGGTCGTCCGCTTGGCCTGTAGGAGATGTTCTAGGTCGCGCGATTTGACGATCGGTGGAGTTAAGATCCTAACCCTGTTGCGACGCGCCGCTATCCAAGACCTCGGAAAGCCTTCAGCTCACTACTCCGACTTGATGTTGGTTGATGTTGAACGGGAAAGAAACATTACGTGATGGCTTGCGATGGGATGAAAACCCCGGGGCCCAAGATAAGCTGATAAGGCAGGCGAACGACAAACTACCGTACCCTAGTGTAGAGGTACCTAGGTACACTACGCTACATGTACTATGTACGCTACAGAGTTGCCCGACCCGAGGTTTAAACTTTAAAGACCTGGGAGGCCCACATGCTTCGACAGGGCTGGCGAATCAGGGAGACGGCGAAAGAAATGACCCTGCTCCGATACTGAAGCCTTGTTGTTTGCAGAAAGTGAATTGCACCTGGGTGGAGTCAAGAAGCTGCCAGATGCCGGACAATTGAAGGTACATGCATAACGAAGTGTAGAACTCGACCCTTGAATCTGTTTCAGGTGATTAGGCCAAGATGAATTGGGTTTTCTCGAGTTTGAATTCAGTGTTGTCGATGTTGTGTTACCCCGGCCCAACACAAAGGCCAAGATAACTAACAATCGGTGTCACGCTCACACCGGACGGGGCCACTGAAACCACTTCCGATACAGATCCGCTTTTTTCGTGAATGTCACGTTCACCACTTCGGCCACCCGCACCACCCGACTTCCCTTTCATTGTTTGCTACATGTCAACAAAGTCTCGAGTCTTAGAAAGGGACCGAAGGACTTGGTTGAAAAATTGGGCAGAATGTGCCAGGTGCAATGTGCAAAAGGCACGATTTGAGGAGAATGGATGGATGGACAGCGATACACCACCCACTCATCCCATCCCATTCGTGAGTGGCTTGGCTCAATCTCTTTTCATGAAAGTAACTTTAATTTTCCCCTTGAAGGTCCCGCTCATACAAGTAGTCGCTTCGTAACGTATTTTGATCTCTCTTTCATCTTATTTCTCAAATCCAAGTTACCTACCTCTACCTATTGCTCTAGCCCCTGTCCTACGTCATACCCAATCGCTTACAGCAAACGGTTCTAGATCCGCTAGTTTAGACGGGCGGTCTCATTTCTGCCATTCCTGACCACTCGAGGTCCCGACCTTGCAGTGACTTATCGGCCTTCCGAGCCTATGGTAGGTCCTGTGTATTGTGTACCACACTACTGAACCACTCTACCCTCAGCTGCGAGCCAGCACTGCACATAGCACATACATAATACCATAGGGACGGAAAGGACTGAAAGATAACCTACCTAACCTTTACACTGCACTGCACTTCACTTGCATTGCACTGCGCCGTACCTTACCTGAACTTTACCGTATCGACGACCATTCATTCTTGTCGTGCTCCGAACTTGCATTGAACGCTCCCCGTCTCCCCGTCGTCTGGCTCCCTCTCCGCGCCGACCCCTCCCCCGCCGTGCGCAAATATCCGAACAGCAACGCCGACCATCTGCGCATGCCGCGTTGGATGATGAGAACCCGACAGCGGGAATGAAGGTTTCCCATGTGCTCGCAGAGCTCCAAGCCGGCATGGACGAATCGCAGAACCAGCGGGACAAGCGCGTCGAGGAATTGTGGACGAAGCTGGATCCCCAGCGCCACGGAGAGCTCGACTTCAAGGGGCTGCAAAAGGGGTTGAGAAGGATCGATCACCGTGAGCGAATACCTGCCAACGCCAATGCGATTCGTCATGCGCATGTTCACGAATTGCCATTTCTACTGACACCCAAGCGCCCGTCTTTCTCGTAGCCATGCAAAATGCCGACCACATGCTCAAGGATATCATCAAGGTCGTGGACACCAGCGGCGACGGCAAGATCCAATACGAAGAGTTCCGCAACTTCGTCGAGACCGCCGAGCGCCAACTGTGGCTGCTCTTCCGTTCCATCGATCGCGACAAGGATGGCCGGCTCGATAAGAACGAGCTGCGCAGCGCTTTCCAAAAGGCCGGCTTGACCGTATCCAACAAGAGGCTGTCGGGCTTCTTCGACGAGGTCGACATGGACCACGATGGCTACATCAGCTTCGACGAGTGGCGGTAAGTCACACAATTTCTTTGAAAAGAGAGACTCGAGAGACGAAAAGAAGAAAAAGAAAGTGGACCACAACCTAAGTAAACAAACCGACCCACTCAAAGCTGGGGAAGACCGGGAATCGCCAACTTTTCACCAGTTCCACTCGCCCAATCTAACCCTGTAATGCCAGCTAGCGGCCGAGTCAAAGTCATTTTGTCTTTGCGCGCGTGCTAAAAAGGCTGCTGCAGTGTGGTCTGCCCCTAAAGCGCATTGCCAGGTCTTGGGAAATCGAGTGAATGAGAACCAGGAAGGAGGTTGAGCGAGTGTTTGCTTCGGTCACACGAGAGACGAGAGAACCTTGAGAACCTGCTGGCTGACTTGAACTCTCCCTCTGATGATAAAAGGGACTTTCTCCTGTTTATGCCCACCACGCACAACCACGAACACGGCCACGAACACGGCCACCACGCTTCTGCACTTGAAGCCGCCCTGTCGTTTTACTCCTCCATAGTGACTGTCAATGCAGAGGGCGACTCCCTCGTCAGCGAAGAGACACTTGAGGGTCTAGGTACGACTGGCTTCCTTCTCAACGCTCTTTTTGGTTCTCTTTTGAAGATTGCCAGCCCGGGCGCTACTACTACTCCTACTTCTCAGTCGCCCGCACCAGACTCAAAATCACCACTCTCCTCACCCTCATCTCACTATCCCGACGGCACCGCCGAGCCTGGTGCTGGGGCAAACATGGCACCGTCCAAACTGGCACCCGTCGGTACCGCCACCCCTGAGCAAGTGTCAGCAGACAGGGCGGCCCATGGCCAAGTTATCAAAGAGATGGAGGGCGAGGGGCAACACGACCTCCGCCAAGAATCCGATACCAGTCTAAAGGATGAGGAGGTCGTGAAAAGCGGACTGACAGGATTACTACCCGACGCAGGTTACTTCCTCGCCGGTGCCGTCTCAGGTGGAGTGTCGCGCACTGCTACTGCGCCACTCGACCGTCTCAAAGTCTTCCTCCTCGTCAACACGAAACCAAAGTCCACCACCACAGTCGAGGCTGTCAAAAGTGGCCAGCCTCTCAGCGCTCTGCGTAATGCAGGTGGCCCCATTTACGACGCCATCAGGACGCTATGGCGGGCCGGTGGAATCAAGACCTTCTTTGCAGGTGAGTTGATACCGAATGTCTATGAACCACGAGGTGCCCCATTCGGGACTAACAAACTCATAGGAAACGGGCTGAACGTCGTCAAGATCATGCCAGAATCTGCCATCCGGGTAAATAGCCTCACCCGGCCCATTGCGAAGCTTCTTAAATGTTCAGTGCTAATGATTGGCTAGTTCGGCTCTTATGAAGCCTCAAAACGGTTTCTTGCGGCCTACGAGGGCCACAACGATCCGTCACAAATCAGTACTGTGTCCAAATTCGTCGCTGGCGGCATGGGCGGTATGACGGCCCAGTTTTGCGTTTATCCCATCGATACTCTCAAGTTCCGGTTGCAGTGCGAGACCGTCGAAGGAGGCCCCAAGGGTCATGCCCTCCTCATTCGTACAGCCAAGAATATGTGGGCGGACGGCGGTCTCCGTGCAGCATATCGAGGTCTCGGCCTCGGCCTCATCGGCATGTTCCCTTATAGTGCCATCGACATCGGCACTTTCGAGTTTCTCAAAAAGTCGTACAAGCGCGCCAAAGCTAAGTACTACGGCGTGCACGAAGACGATGCGGCGCCAGGAAACGTTGCTTTGGGCGTTCTCGGAGCATCATCGGGAGCATTAGGTGCCACAGTGGTGTATCCGCTCAACGTCCTTCGAACAAGGCTCCAGACCCAGGGAACAGCGATGCATCCACCTACATACACCGGTTTTGTGGATGTGGCAACGAAAACAGTCCGTAACGAGGGCATTCGTGGTCTTTACAAGGGCTTGACCCCTAATCTGCTCAAAGTAGCACCGGCTCTTAGTATTACCTGGGTCTGCTATGAGAACATGAAGACGATTCTCGAATTGCACTAATTGGACATTCTGGGGGCAGGGTTGGCACCCTGTTGTTGAACACCTTTGAGCGGTCACCATCTCTCAACCGCGATGCCAATCATGGCAGTGTGGCAGCTGCTCAGTAATGCTCCCAACAGGCGCTAATGGGGGACTCGCAACCTTGACACAAATATGTTTTGGCTTACATCCCAAGCCACAGCTCGCTCCTTTCACGCTTGTGGATCTACAACCTGGCTCCTGAATGGCATTTACTGGAGCTTAGCAGAGGTCATACCCGGCCGGGATATGACCATACTCACGAAGATGGGTACACGCAGTGTGGCGGCTGCTCAGCCTGAGAGCGCTGCTTTCCAGGACGGGGAGACGGAGAGGCGGAAATACGAAGAGGTTGGACAAAGTCATAGATGTCCTAGATAAGATGGATGGCGCCACAAGATGCGGGGGAAGAAGAAGCGTTACACCTAGCAACTGGTTGATTTTTATTTTTTTTGTCGTTGAGAGGTTGGCTACCTTACCAACATATAGCCCTGGCGTTTGGCATAAGAGGACGAAGATACCATTAGACTCAAAGGGGTTAATGTCATTTCAAGTGAAACGAAGGCGAACCCTAAAAACATATTCAAAGCAAAGCATAGCGTTGGCGATGGTGTGGAAGGGTTGCAGGATTGGATAGGAACGAAATGGGATGGAATAGGATAAGACGGAGGCAGGGACAAAAAAAAAGAAGAAGAAGAAGTGGAGGAACGGGTCTGATGGTCCAGATGCTGTAGCAGCATGGGAACAAAAGTCGACATCATGTAGATTATCTATATACGGCTCATCTTTGACGGTCGTATGTCGTCGCTTGATTGTTTGTACACAATGAGTTAACATGTGTAGGTAATTCAGCGAGGAGAGCTCATTCAGCTAAGGTTGAGTTGGGGGTGACGAAGCCATTGCCATTCCATGCCTACTTAGCCATGGTACTTCACTACGGCCCAGATAGTCACCAACTGTGTCACTGACAGACATTTTGACGTTATCAGCGGCTTGCACCAGCTCGCCATGGACATTCCATTCGCTCACCAGATGGATTGCTTGCAGCTTCCAGCCTTAAAAGCCGACCAAGTGACTGGGGGTGGTCTTGAGAGAGAAAGCACTCCTTGACACCATCATAAGGAATCTGTGAGTTTTACCCCGCGCTTATTCGGCACCACACTATTGTTTATCGTCAGCCCACTGGGGCTTTTCCGTCCCGTTTAGGAAGCTCGTTTTACACGCAGCAACGATAGGCCAATGGTGTTCAACCAAACAGCTTGGAATTTACCAAACAGATCGAGGACATTTGAGATTCGGTGGGAAGCCGAAAAGAATCGCCTTCAGAACTCGTCAGCTCTCGTTGGAGTCATAAACTTGGTGCAGAGTTCTTGATATCTCCCCCTTATCACCAATGGAACCTCTTTCCTTTGTCAATCCATGTCAAAGCTGGCATATTGTTTCTTTAAATCCGAGCCGTTCCAATAGAGTTGATTGGAGTTGCATGCAGCTTACGACTGAGGATGAAAAGGCTATATCTCTTTGGCGCAGCGATACAACCTCGTCTTCACCTCGACGTCCTTCTGCCCTTTCTTGGATTCGTAATCTTCACTGTTTAGACGAACTCTTTCCTGTACAACTCACAACTAAACACTGCCGAACGCGCGTTCTTCTTTGTTTCCTCACGGATTCAGTGTTTTCTATATGGCTTGACCGATTACATGGCGTCGTAATTCCAACTTAACGCCGCCCGTGGTCCGTGATATTGACGGAGCGTCTACCGAGAACAGCCTTTACCCATCTTTGTGTTGTTGTTGTTGTTGTTGTTGTTGTTGTTGTTGTTGTTGTTGTTGTTGTTGTTCGCTCTACGTGAAGCGGCAAAGCAAAGTCAGCGTCGGGATTGTTTGAAGGTTAGAACCGACAGGGAGTCGGGTTTCGAGGACGCGAAGAGTTTTCAGCCATCATGTCACACCCTTATTCGGACAATCTTTATTCGTACCCGGGCCTGGGCAACGACGATGACATCGAGGAAGCTCCTGATCATCAACACGACCAAAGACAAATCCAAAATGCATTTCTACCTGTCGATAACTTCATCGATAACACGTCAGGATCTTCGTTCAACTCTCCATTTTCTCCTCCTCCATTGGACGAGGACCCGTCTCTCGACCCGTCAATGACTGGTGATAGCAAGGCGAGAGAGGCGGCTCGCTTTTCGGGACGCGGCGAAGACGTTCACAACGCAGATGAAGGAGACACAGCGCATCGGTCGTCTCGGATAGATGGCGGCTATCCATCTCTTCCCGCTTCCAGTTCGACATATGCCACGCCATCGACCCATCCGCCACAACACCAGGCCGCGTACTACCCCCACTTCCCATCACAAGTCGGCTCATCATCATCCCCATATTTACCCTCAACGTCCGGTTCACCTTACGCGGCCTACCATCATCAACACCATCAATCAATATCCAGTCAAGGCTCATCACCATTCCCCCTTGAGGCCCCTCCCGCCTATACTCCTTCACCAACATCGGCGTCGCCTACAAGCCCCTTGAATTCTCACATAGCATCCTCAACAACCTATCAAACCTTTCCTCAGGCAACAACCCCATCCTCCTCGACCGACAGCATGGGTCGTCCGGATGAGTCTACTGGTTTGCTGAACCGTGGCCCAGAAAGCATGGGCAACCCCGGTGGTGGGCCAGATAATGTGAAACCTACATGGACTGAGCGAGTTAGGAATCGTCTGCCCTCCCGAGAGACCGTCAGGAAGACTCTCCTGGTGTTGATTGTTGCGGTTCTCCTTTTGGGCATTGTTACCCCTTCGTCCAATGTAAGTTGACCTGCGTCATGTTTTTCGATGTTAAAGAAATGCGGGGGATGCTGTACCACATTGGATGACGTTCACACGTGCATATATCTCGCATATTTGTATTACTCTGGTTCGTTACTGACCTATTTCCCCAGTCCGACCACAACAACAACCCCTCATCTCCTTTTCACCCCGGCCATGGCGGCGGCGGACAAGGACGCTCTTCACCATCCAGACCGCCCGTCATGCAATACCCCGATATCGACAACGAGTCCGGCTGGCTCTCGCGCTACCGCTGCCGCGGCCGCACCATCGCTCGTCCAACCGAGACCTACGACGTCTCCTTCTCCTCCAGCAAGCACCTGACCATCAACCAAGAGCGTCTCGACGACGACGGTGACTCGCACCACTATGACACCTACGTCCAAATCCAAGGCGAAGTCATCGTTCGTCGCTCTTCAAAGAACCAGAACACCCCCAACCCTTCCATCGTTGTGGAAATTATCGTCAACGACGACCGCATCCCCATCGAAACGCACTGGAATCCCAACGACCAGGCCCTCACCATTAAGACCCCTGACGGAATAAACACGGGTGAGCGCAACCTCAGGTTATGTGCCACCGTGAAGGCCACCGTCTGGGTGCCCGAGGACGCGGAGCTCAATTACCTCCAGATCGCCACCATCCATTTGGGGGTACAGCTGCTCGATAACTTGTCCCTGACCATCGAGACCCTTGCCAAGTTCGACGCTGTGGCTGGGAACATCATCTCTGCCTCCTCTGGGGGCAAGGATGTCACTTACAGAAGCAGCAGAAACAAGGAGGTCCCGCGAGACACCTCTCCGGACTCGTACGCCTTCCACCCGCGCAAGTGCGAAGCAGGCACCACATCGGGGGAGATCTACGGCGTCTGGCCGCTCTTTGATTCTCTGGCATTGAAATCCACATCGGGGGACATCAAAGTCGGCATTGAACCCCACGACACCTGGGACCAGCAGTCCGCGCCACAGTCTACAGCGGCAGAGCTCTCCATCCATTCCAACTCGGGCGACGTTGACTTCCGCGAGCATGGCGTCAACACGGGCAAACCACCGCTCAAGAGGGATTACATTCTCGACGTGCACACCACGAGCGGTAACGTCCACGGCCTAGCAGTATTTTCCTCTTCTGCGACGGTCAAGAGCACGAGTGGGACTTTGAATTTGGGACTTCTCCCGGTCCTTCTTCAATCTTCTTCTTCCTCCGACAACCAGCACCCGGTAGAAGTCTCAACCTCGTCTGTTTCTGGCTCTACAACAATCACCATCTTTGACCCGCTCTATTTCTCCTCTTCATCCATGTCCTCATCTTCCTTTACTTCTGCTGTAGCAACTCAACAACCCCTCCGAAACCTCCACCACCAACACACTTCTACGTCGGGCGACTTCCACCTCTACCTGCCTACTTCCTGGGAGGGCGAGATTGGCATGACGTCGCTCAGCGGCAAGCTAGCCGTGGGCGGGGAGGATGTCAGGATTATCAAGAGTGGGGAGAAGTGGCCGGGGTTCAACAGGGAGTTGGTCGCTAGGAAGGGTCCGGAGAGGGAGGAGGGAAGTCGGGTTAGGGTGGGGTTGACGAGTGGGAGTGGGGAGGTTAGAGTTGGGTCATAGATGTTGGGTTGTTCGGGGTTGGGTTTGGGCTATGAGTGAGTGATTGAGGGGGTTGATGGGTTGATATTATATGATCAGGAGCTTGAATATCGATGGGTATAGGTATGGGGACGTGTAGGACTGGGTACCTGAGCATGGGCTGGATTCTTGTTACCTATAGCTATGTGTTCTTGATTTGGGAGTGAAAGCGTTGTTCCGCGATATCTTCGGTTTATATTCATGGTGTCTATGATTTCGAGATTGTTCATAAAAGTATGTTTGAATGAGGATGGATACACATGGTGAAACGAGATAATCCAGGCATATGATAAGCTAGTAGTTATTACAGGCCAACTCTAGTATGACTGTTAGCTCGAGACCTCGGGTCAACTTCCGTAGATGTCTCCATGCTGCGAGGGTGCTTTTTTCTTTCTTGTTTTGTCTTCTTTTTTCTCCTAACAAAATACACCATATTGGATCTCGATGGTGCCTTTCGAACCCGTACCTAGCCATGCATTTACCCCTTGAAAGCTTTGGGACATTCGGAAGCAATCACGTCCGGTGTACAAGGAGTAGATACCAAGTTAACAAACAAACCAACATTTGATCTGCAGCTAATACAAGATATTCTACGCTGCGTATACATATACTGAGGTACAAATGCCCCTTCGAAGCAGAACAGACCAAACCTCGCTTATTCGTAACATCAGCTACCCCTCGTCTGGCTCAATCCGGGTCTCTGAGTATTCTCTGAGGCCGCAATCACTAAGAACTCAACCACTGATAGAATTTAACGCTCCCCATTTTTGTTCCCATTACCCGGTCCAAGCTTGTGAGGATGTCGGTGGACACAGAGTATTAGACGAACCCTCGACGCGCTCTCATTTTCCAAGTCGCGGGTGCGGTACTCGATGTATCCAGCATAGAGTTTCCCTGTCCGATATAACCTCAGACCGTCAAAGACAATGCAGGTCGGCAAGAAAGGTGGGTGATTAGTAACAAATATTCCCCCTTTTCCCATCGGCGTATCCCCATTCCTTGGCCCAGCTTCACCAGGAGCCAACTGAACCCACAGCTCGGGCAACTCCAAGAGGTCCCTTGCATTGAACGCCGGCACAACAAAATTGCCCGGTTTCCTGATAAGGTCCTGACCATGACGACCGTCATCATTTCGACGTAGAAAAGCCGACCTGATACCGTGGCTCAACTGCATTTCCCACGCCACCTGGCTTGAAATATCCAAATTATCCAACTCATACGCCCATTGCACCTGTTTTTCAAGCAGGCATCTGATCTCTTCTTCTTCCAAGTTCCGGTCAACAATGGCACCGACATCTTCAACCCCACAAGTCTGCTTTTTCCATTTAAGGAACTCCTGCCTCTCCCATCTCAGGCACGCCTTATCCCACTCCACAACCTCTCTACTTATCTCGTCCAGCTTGTCCTCTGAACCCTCATCATTCGATGTAGCCGTTGTCCTGGGCACCCACGCCACCCACATGCGGAACCAAATCCTCAGCCCTTGCGTCTTTACCGATGTCGACATGTTCTGCATAGCAGACTCCAGCTTTTCCTGTTCTTCACCCAGTTGGGTAAGCGGTTCAATTTGCTCCATCAAAAAATCATAATCAGCTTTCGAACAGTTGCGAGTCTTTTTGTGTTTTTTCCACGTCGTCTCGAGCCAGCGTTCCTGTGGGGTGATGTTTTCGAGAAGTTGTATATTCTCAGATAGCCCCTCTATCCGTCTTTGCGACTGTCCCGGCATCTGTGTCTGTGTCAGGGTCGGTCTTCTTGTGGGAGCCCCCGGCGGTGTCGATGTCCGAGGCGGTAGCGGCGGAGGCGATGGAGATGGCGATGGCGATGGACTCCGGCTGGACAGACCGGTCCAGAGACTTCTGTTGCGTCTGGAAAAGTATGACATGCGCTCGCCTGAAGGAAAGCCATGTTCTCGGATGGTTATAGGCGCTGAGCGGGGGCGGAAGCGGGAGCGGGCGTGGGGATGGCGGCCAGGGCCAGGCTCTGATCTTCTTCTGCCAACGTGATTTCGAACCATTCCATGCTGCATTTCGGCATCGTCAAAAATTCCCATCTCACGACCATCAAGGAGACCACTAGGCTGAGGATGCTGGTGCCCTGCCGGGTTCGATGCTGATGAGGGCATTATACCCAACACACTTGCTCGATGCCGTACTTGAGCTTGGATTGGTGACGGCGGTTGATAGGAAGGGTCATCAGTTGGTGGATTCGGGAAGATTTGAGAGTCAACTGGCGGCATCTTTCTCGAATTTATGCAGTTTTTTTCGGAGGTATATGATGATGTGTGAAGATGGTGAAGGTGTTAACCGAGTGTGTGTGGAAGTCAAATAGCAATGTCCAGTCCAAGAACAGCTTCCGGCCAGATCTGGGAATTGGGAGAAATGAATGAATGTACTTGATCAATGATGGTGAGGTCCACAAGAGTTCCCAAGCAAGCCGGTAATGCACTGATGCTGAAAAAAATGTATGGATGATGAAAAGGTTCGCCGCTGACGCTCGCATGAAAAACAAGTCGGCTTTATGTGTCTTGGTTCAGACTGTGCAGAATCTGACTTTCCTCTTCCGTAGACCGTGATCCCAAAAAAGCAGAAGGGACGAGTGGGAGACTGTTTCTCGAGGAGAAGGATGGAAAGGCAGTACTGGGAAAGTGCGACGGGCGAGTACTCCGCGATTGTTGAAGGCATCGCCCACAAGAACAGACTACTTACGGGACCCAGAATGTCTGCAGGGTGACCTGAACTTGAATGAAGCAATTCCGAAAGCCACGCTTTCCCTTCTTCGTCAAAACGGCACATACTCGTGAGAAATTTCAAAATCCGCAGGCACACAACGGATCTTCCCTACTCTGTCTGTTGGAGCGTCACTCACCTCACGCTACTTATCAAAATGATGCATAAATGTCTCCGATACCAACGAAGCTGCCACTCGAGGTTCTCAACTCGGTATTCGCCCCAGATGGCACGCTGGAAAGTGTTTTCTGTCTCCTCACTATGTAATGCCGTTGAGATGATTGTTGGCGTGAGATTCCTTGACTATTTCTTTCAGGAGACTAGAGTGATAGGAGCTGTTTGAAACTGATCTAACCGCACTCCCTTCTCAGGGTTTATCATAGCTCAGAAACCCAGAGTCAGTAGCTCGTGTACGTCTGAAAATATTATTTGCAATGGCAAGTTCACTTTTACAACATTACTAGCCACCACTGACAGGACCATTCTTTTAGGAGCATAATACATAAGCCCATGGCTCGAGTCAGATGTCCTGGTGCTCAAAGTGTCTGTCCGAATCACAGCAGCCGGTGAGACTCCCCTGAGCACCCATGTAAACGCCGATGTTTGCGAGAATGACCCGAGTGCCGCTCATGCTGGCTCTCTAACGACTCTGTTTCGTTGTTGCGCATGCCGCCCTTCAGTAGTAACTTCCGCTGTAGTTTGTAGCTCAGTTTCAATGGTAGGAGCGCTGGGCAGATGAATACAGATCACCCCAGCTTGCATCGAAAATTGGCAGCAATTGCACCAAGAGCATCCAGGCCCTGCGTGGTATGGTCTTGCTCAGGGCAGACACTGGATCGTATCTGATAACTGAAACTTTGCCCGAGAATCTCCTGACCACCTCGGAAAATATATTGATATGGGATGGTTCATGCTTGAACTGGATATTACAATTGGAGCAAGAAGCTGAGAGGCATCATCCAATGTTTCGAAGTGGCCCGTCAGCAGCTCCTGTGAGAATATGGAAGATACAGCAATCAAGACATCCACGCCAAGGATCCCATCTTTGAATCAAGGTTCGAGGCCAATTCCTTCCACGTCTTGTCCCCAGGTTCGAGCGGTTAGCGTGGATATTGGGTCCGTCCGTTAGGGCAGAAACCCCGAGTGTCAATGGCGTTGAAGAAAAGTTGGTGAAGTGGCAGTTGATGGCGGACGGACCAAACTAACTGAGTGAGAACCTGGATCTAATCCCTTCACCGACAAGTACTTCGCACGTAGAGAGGAAGGTACCTCTTACCTTATACTAGTACCTCCCGTCGACAGGAGAATAGTTTTCAGGTTGCAACTGCCCCCAGCAAGTAAAACGTCAAATAGAATACACCTTCGGGTGAATCTTCCTAAGCGTCAACATGTCTTCAATATACCTCTTCCAGGTAGTCAGACGCATTTCCTGCATTCAGAAACACCACATAGACCCATGTTTCTATGTTTCCAACCACACAAAAGGCATATAGGAGTTTTGTTACGGCCTTTCCTTACGAGCGTAACCGGTATTGAACTGTCCATCTTCGGTTTATCCCTCGACGACTCGCCGCCTTACGACAGACAACACGAAGCCGACGCAGAATGAGATGAACCTGCGAGTGTCATCAGACTGCGTTAGTAAACAAACAAAAGAATTTGCGTTTCTTCCTTCTCATCCGAAGTCTTAAGCCAGAGATAAGCCTAGACCAAAGGTTACGTATAGACACTACACGACGCGTCCAAGGTTTGTCAAATCGAGCTCTTGCCTTCCTGCCTTTTTCCATCTCATCTTGTGAGGACAGTGAGCCTGGAGTGATTCAAAAACCTGAGCAAACGCGCCGCGTTGGGAGTAATTAGACGCCTTCGCTTCCTCAGTAACTTCCCCCTCAGTATTTGTTTCCTCCTCGAGCCACACACTCGTTCATACCTAGGACTCCTGCACGAAGACTTCTTCCTCCGACAAATTTTGAGTCGCAGACCTCTTGATAATAACAACCACTTCAACTCAGTGCAACACTCTCAAGTAAGTATTGTCTTTCTTCCGGCGACAAGAAATAAAATCGCACACGGCCAGTTCTCAGTCGAGAGCCAGCCCTTCACCTCCTTCGCTTTCCAGTGAAGCCCAGCTCTTAGGTTTTCACCTGGACCAAACTCCTTCATAACTCGCAACCCTTCCTGCCCCGTCTGTCATTTTTTCCCCCTCCCGTAACGTAAAATCGAGTGCCACCCAGAATGGCACCACCCAATCAAGGTAAGCAACAGCCCGTTGCAGCAGGGGCGAATATCAGAAGCAATAGAAGCCGGCTCGAGATTCTCTTTCTTGATTATTGACAGATCGATCGAGCCTGATGCTCAGCGTCATCACACGCTGCTCTTCACAATTCCGACTTCATCCTCCTGGAAGCTAACATGACATGCAGAGATGAGCGCCCCGTCGCGCGCCGCGGTCTTGCAGGAGATCGAAGACGTGGATGGAATTCTCGGTAAGTTCAAAGTTTCATCAACATCAGAGGATCATCCAGGCCCAGTGATAAAGCTGACACTAGCTTCAGGTGGAGGACCTTTCCCTACTTTTCGAGGCAGGGCGACAAGCGACCCCCGCCCGGACGCCCAACAAGGCCAAGCTCGAGGCCCTGAGCGGCAGTTGGCTGCCGCGGCCCTGGCAATTCGCCAGAGAAGCCGGACGCCCAGTCGTCCGCAAAGGCCTCGTGGCCTTGACGCGCTTGTTGAGGAGCCATTCCCGCCTATGCCGAGCCTGCCCTTCCGCCCTCCCAACCCCCCTTTCGCCCAACCGAGCTTCGGCAGTGGCCGCCCCAGCCGGTCACGCACGGGGCCTGCTGACTTCCCCCAAAAGGCTCCCCCGAGAGGGTTTGTCCTGCCTCCTGCTAGGCAACCTCCCAGGGATGTTCGGTCGCCCTCTGGCAGCCAACATATGGGCCAGCCAGTTTCTTCCCATCCGGGACCCTCATTGCCGCCCCCTCCTCCCATTCCTCCCAAGTCCGCTCAACGGCAAGTTCAGGACAACAGGCGCCCGTCGGCATCGGGTTCGAGGCCCACAACATCGTTGAACCAGGCTGTTTTGTCTCGTTCTTCGCCCCCCGCACCCCCTCCCCAGCCCCAAGTTTCCCGGTCATTCGAGGGACACCAGGCCAGCTCTTCGAGTCGTCCCCCTGTGCAGACACCTCCTTTCGAAGGTAAGACAGGTCACCATTTCTTTACCGTTTGATTTGTCGTTGACAGACACTGACTGACTCATCGGACTACAGACGACGTTTTCAAGGGTCATCTGAACCCGAACAACCCATATGGGTACAAGCAGCCTCCGAGCTTTCGTGAGTTTCGTCCCTTAAATGATTTGGGAAATGGATGGAGCTGACTGGTATTTGGAACAAGACCACAACTGGGACACACCAGCCAGAGATCAATGTATGGGCATCAAGCCCCATGGAAGACCGAGTCACCCTTTCCAGGGTCCCCCGACTGGATCTCGCCCGAGACCGCCACAGCATAAGCAGCAGCAGCAGCAGCAAAGCAAAGTTGCTTTGCCGTCCCAATCTTCTTCCTCCGGCGCCTCGGCTAGGGCTCGCCAAGCTGGCCACTCTACCGAGCCCAGCTATTTCGATCTCTCTTCTCTCCCGCCCCCGAGACTGCAAGCGCAGCCCGGTAACGGCCATAGTGCCCAGACTGTGACATCCCCGGTGCCCAACCCCGTCGTCACCACCACCACCGAGTTCGGATACCATCCGATGATGAGCCCATATGAGGCCGAAGCTGCCAGCGGTAAGATGAAAGGGAAATGGAATATTCATATCAAGTGATATGAGTACAGCAAAATGGAAGATAACTAACGAGGCGAAAAAACAGGCATGGTCAGGGCTCGGGTTGAGAGCCCCAAGAAGAATTCTTATACGCCGGGCGGAGACCACTGGACCTCTGCCCGCGATATGCTGTCACCCGTCGAGGCCGCGGTGGCCTGCGCCGACACCAGGCGCAGAACCATTTTCATGGACATGGGGGTGCAGTACGCCGACGACCACGAGGACGATGACGAGTAAGGTGGGACCAAAGGGTGTAGAGAGTTGTTGGGTTCGGAGGTGATGAGGCTTTATGCTAAGAGCTGAGATTTCAGCTCTTGATGCCAAGATCATACGGTCATGTCTTTCCTTTTGCTTTAGAGAAGAGATCGTGAGTAGTGATTCGTGTTTTATTGCTCTGGGTGTTGGGGGATGGCAGGTTCCGGCCAGTAATTAATTCACCCCATGCCAACCGGTAATATCTATATTCGGGGTGTACGACCATATTTTGGAGTAATTGTACGAGTTTTGTCAAAGAAAGAACACATTGCTGTGATTTCACAATGCATTTGACGTTGTGGTTGATGCCGTGACGTTGCTCGGGGAGACACGTGATAATGTATTATCGGTGTTGTTGATGATTGATAAGGCATTGTGACCGGCCCCACCGTTCCGCCTTTGCCTGCCGGAAGTCCATCATCGATAGTGCGTCACGAAATGCGACCCTGTTCCTGCCGTCCGATGCCGCCGTCGCAAAGTAAATCTCGGGAAAATAGCTCCGACCGTCTTGCCCAAGACAATCACCGTTGACCTGCCTAGACTTTCTCGAGAGGCCAATTACTTCTCTGAAGAAGTCTCAACAAATTCAATTGGTTTCTCGCGGTGAATCCAGGTCGACGGTTTGTCTGGTGGACGAAATTGTGTCCTTATCAGCACCTCCCAAAACCGAACCGAACCGAAACCGATAACATCGCGACTTTCCCAATCGAGTCACATCCAATACAGCAAAACACCACACTTCGCGACTTTAACCTCCCTCCAATCAATCCTTCAACTCTCATCGACTACTCGACACCTCCTCAATCCCAAACAATCTCAAGTAACATCGCGACAAACCGCAAAAAAAGAAAAAGAAAAAGAAAAAGAAAATGGCCTCCCAATCCTCCCCACCACCTTTCCAAACCGCCCTCCTAGCCGGCGCCCTCGCCGGCACCACCGTCGACCTCTCTCTCTTCCCGCTCGACACGCTCAAGACCCGTCTCCAATCGGCCCAAGGCTTTTTCGCCAGCGGCGGTTTCCGGGGAATCTACCGCGGCGTCGGCTCCTGCGTTATTGGTTCCGCTCCGGGAGCTGCCTTTTTCTTCGTTACTTATGAGACCACCAAGGGGTTTCTTTCTACGACAGGTTCGACAACAACAACACATACGGGGGACACAAAAGGACAGGGGAAGGGTCTGAGCCCGGGGGTGCAACACGGAATCGCGGCAAGTCTGGGCGAGATCGCCGCTTGTGCGGTCCGCGTGCCGACCGAGGTGATCAAGCAGCGGGCGCAAGCAGGTCAACATGGCGGGTCGAGCTTGAGCAGCTTGCTGCACATCCTCCACCAGCGCTCGACCATCGGCCTGACAGGGGTGTGGAGGGAGCTGTACAGGGGGTGGGGCATCACGGTGATGAGGGAGGTGCCGTTTACGGTGCTGCAGTTCCCGCTGTGGGAGTCGCTCAAGAAATGGGGACGCGAGCGCCGCCAACGAACTGGCCGGGGCCTGTTTGGGGACTCGGCCACGGGTAAAGATGATAAAGACGTTAGTGCTCCCGAGAGCGCATTGTACGGAAGCTTGGCGGGCGGGTTTGCGGCGGCCTTGACGACGCCTTTGGATGTGCTCAAGACCAGGATCATGTTGAGCGAGAGGAGGGAGGGGGTGGTCAGCCTAATAAAAACAATTTGGAGGGATGGGAAGACAAAGACGGGAAGTGGCATCAGGCCGTTCTTCAGTGGCATTGGGCCAAGAGTGATGTGGATCAGTATCGGAGGAGCGATTTTCCTGGGGAGTTATCAGAGTGTTGTTAATGCTTTTGAGGGGACGACGAGAAAGAAGAGCAGTGGTGGGGAGTTGTCGCTCTAAGGAAGGGTCTGGTAATTCGGGTTTGAAGCGTTGCTGAGGAAAAGCGAAAACGGTTGTTGCTGCACGGTCTAGGAGAAAAGAAAAAGGGATCAGCTCGATGTCATTAATCTTGGGCATCGAATAGACAGACGGGATGAGCAAGAAGAACAGCATACATAGACATAGAGTTCAAGATACCCCAGTGGGAGTAACAGGAGTCATGTTACACCCCTATGTACAACAACCCCTACTGTACTATATAAAATACCCGCTAAGAGTCGAACAAGCGCTGTCTCCAGGTTCATAACCAACAGTAGTCAGAGAAGGCATGAATAGAGATAGAGAGGAAGAAGAAAAAAACAACACCATGTACAAACACGCCGACTCCAAGATAAACAAGACATATAAGTCATACACTGTCCAATCATGACAGGGCAGTCACGGTACGAATTAATAATACCCAATTCCTTCCAGGGACGTCCATGAACTCTCCAACCTGACAGCTTCATCATCCTAAGCTGCTGCTGCAACAGCTTGGCCGACTTGTCCCTGTCCGGCTGCTGTTCCGGCGGCTGATGGGGAGTCCTGACTTTGGCGTTGGCTGCCATCGGTAATGTTAGGAGATGGCACCGACGGGAACAGAATCTCTTTCTTCCCGTTGGCTTTGTAATGGAGGACAATATCATTACCACCCTTCCAGACGTGTGCGCGAAGGGTTGCGAGACTCATGGTGTTTGGCAAGAGCTAGGTGGTTTTGGTTCATGTCAGCACAAGCGCCACCCAGTTTCGCAGTAGGAATTCAGATCTCACCTGTTCATTGCAGTACAGCTCCAAGTACTCCTCGGGCTTCATCGCGTCTGGTTCCGGATTCTCCGGGTCAGCAGGCGGATCAATCCTCTCTGCCACGTACGCCAGTATCTTCTTCACCCTTAGCATCCTATTCGCGTTCAGGCGATTGTTCCCGTCCGCCACCGTGAGGGCCGGTAACGTATCCTGCCACGGGTACAGCACAAACGACACCTTGACAGGGTCTTTGGGTGGAATGACGTTCAGCAACAAAACCTCGCCGAGCCACTGGGGGCCCTTTTGCTCGATGATGTCCACGTCGGCGCCCACAGACTCCACGGTTCCCCGATACAGCTCGGCTGAGCCGCCTGACGTCTCCTCCTGGATGATCACCTTGGTGCCCTTGGGCAATTTAAGCACCGGCGTGTCGTTGGGTAGGCTGGGGCAGATGCGTGTTTCGACCACCGTGTCGGGATTTTCGATTAGCTGCTTCTCGTACTCGTTGTGAATCTTCTGGATAACACCGTGGAAGCTATCGGCGAATTCCTTCTCGTGGTTTGAAGAGGATTCGGACTCCTCGGCCTTCTCGTCTACTACGACTGGCTTATCGGCAACGGCATTGGAAGCTGAGCGACCGAGCTTTTTGCCGCCAAAGGACATGTTCATCCGGAACTTCTTTCCAAACGGCGTGCTGGGGCTCTTAACTTCCTTGTCCTTATCCTTCTCCTTGTCTTTCTCTTTTCCGTTCTCGGTTGACGTCTTTCCGGTCTTATCTTCTGACGCTCGAGACTCTGCAACCGGCGCCGGAGTTTGTGCTGTCTTGTTTGCGTCTGCGTCTGGTGCATTGATGGCGTCTGAAAAGTAGTCGAGTCGTTCTGCAGATGGCCTATTCGAAAGTTGCGACGAAAACCTGTCGAGGGGACTGAATGGCGTTCCAAAGTCCGCTCTTGGTCCCATGGGCGAGGCTGGAGTAGCGAGTCCGATTGCGAACCCTGGAGTCACAGGAGGGAACCGGAAGCCGTTTGCCCGCGGCGTCGTAACCTGCGAGTCAATGCCACCCGGCGGAGGAGGGATTATTATCGATAGTGCGGGATTCACCCTTCCGACGGCTGCCCGTTGTTGTGATACTTCGTTCAACTTGTGTCTGTGTGCCTCGTCGCGTCGTATCTCTTCATCTATCAGGTTTGCAAAGAGATACCGCAGGATCCACTTTCCAAGATTTACTGTGAAGGGTTAGCACGATCCAGCGTGACAATAGTCGGTGATGAAGCATACTCCTCTGGTCTTCCCGAAACTCCACGGGCTCCTCGAGCGTGAGCTCATCGGCATACGCCTCAGCGTCAAAGCAGTTGAATGGCTCTAGGACCACTGTCAAGTTGCCCGAGCTAATGTCTATTGAGCACCATGGAGCCACGGCCTCTAGGGTATTGACCTCGGGTTCTACATCCTCCAAATGCCTCTTTCCAAAACTCTTGATGGGTTTACACTAATCGAGACAAGACAGTCAGCAAAAGTCACGTTCACATTCACAATCACAAACTTCGGGAAACTACGAGGTCTCACTTTGATCAAATCCCACAACACTACATCCCCAGCCGTGTCCACTGTTAGGACCCGCCGCCTGTCATTCAGAAGACGGTGCTTAACCAGGCCAAACTGGCCCTCAATCGTTTCTTCCGGCAGATGGTGTATCGGCTCGACTACGCTTACCGCGGGGTCTGTTATCACTTCAGATCCTTTTCGTGTATGTGTTGCAACCGATTCTGCCCCATCTCGACTGGGAGCAAGCGGGAAAGAAGCCGTGTTCGAGATGCGCAAAATGGACTTGGCCGGAATCTCCCGCTTGGGGGTAGGTGACCCTGTTGGCATAGGGGGTCCAGACTGGAAAGTACTTTCCCTGCTCCTCGTCGACACAACGGAGGCCCTCTGAGGCCGGAACCCCCCTGGGAGCTGAATGTCAGCGGTTGTGTCGACGCTCTGCCAACGGTTGATCGATGACCGTGACGTCGCCGTCCACACAGAGTTTCCACAAGCGACAACCTTGCTCACGCCATCATGCTCCTGTGCGACGGCCAAGGACAGGCCATCGTCCAAATCACCCAAGGTGCCTCGCACATCGGTTTTGACCACCAAGCCCGACCGATCACTGCTGTAAAAGACACCGAGTTCAGGGTCTTCGGCAAACAGAGACCATACGCTGTCATTGTGCATAGTGAGAGTGTGCATACACCTGCCTGCAGTGACGCTCCAAACCTTGACCGTCTGGTCGGAACTAGCCGTCATGACCATGTCGCCCGAAGAGTTGACCAGAATGGCCCGGATGTTGTCGGTATGACCGACGAATTTGGTGATGCGCTTGCCCGTCTTGGGATCCCATAGGCGAACCACGCTCTCGGGACCACCGCTGGCGAGGATGGAGTGGTTGACGGCCAAGGCATAAACGCTACCCTTCTCTCGCACCTCCTCGCCACTGACATCTATCTCTAGTCGCTTGCCGGCGCCTGACAAATCCCAGAGATATATTTTACGGTCGAGGCCACCCGAGGCTACCCAGTTGGTGGACTGTGACGGTGTCGCAACGCACTTGACGTAATCGGCGTGCTGGCCAATGGTGGCTGGTTCAGTGGCGTCGCTTCCGTGGGGTCGCCATACTTTGACAAGGAGATCGGATGAGGCAGACACCACGGCGGAATGTTGTTGGGCTAAAGCGAGATCGTTGATCCAGTGTGTATGCGCTTGTGTTTGGGAACGGAATCTGGTCGTCTGCTTGGGCCTGGCATTGGCGCGCGAGGACGAGGTATCGACAACGGCGGAGTGGGAGGAAATCGGGGCAATGCAGTCGGGAGGGACGTCCCAAGCGCATACTGTGCCGTCACGGCCGCCGGAGTAGCTGTGTCGTGTCAATTGAATCAGTACATGGACGGGATTCGATCGATAATCGGTGGGGACACGAGGATGAGGGTATATGCTCACAGAATAGCATTGTCGCGATCGACGGCGAGACCGTTCACGCCGAGCCGATGGCCACCAGGTGAGGAGTTTGGGAGCTCGAGAACTGCAGTAAAGTACGAGTGTGATTAGCCATGCGCCCTGTGTTGCGCCCGAACGGAAATGAAGACGAAAAGCGACGAACCATAGCTTATTCTTTGGCGAGCCTTTTTGGCCATGGCGTAGATTAAAGGACCGGGCGAGCAATCATGCGCAATTGTTTTGTTTTTGTACGTCTGCTATGACGGATGGGAGCTGAGCAGTGGGGACCGGGGATGGTCGGGTGAGCGCTGCGGGTTCCTGGGGTTCAACGGCCACACGCGCGATGTCCAGTGTGAAGAAGTTCCGTTCTCTTGGCGTATCCTGGGAGTAGGTATCTGACTGGTTGACGAGGTCGCTCCGAGCAATAGTAGCAAATTCTATAAAGGGACGGTACCTGCGTGTCGAGGTATAAGATGACGTATATGGCTTGACGCGAGTAAGAGTGGACGAACGAGGGTGTATAAGACGTCGAGGTCGTTCAGCTGCCGCGATGGGGTGTTGAGCTGTTATGGGTGGATTGAATGGGCGGGCGGCTTAGTAGATTATGTGTGCACTGCCCCGTGATGGGTGGATAAATGCAAGGCAGATTTCACTTGTAGAAGGCGCGAAGAGGGGGAGGTGGTATTAGGGAAAAGAACAATTTAGAAAAAAAAAAAAAAGAAGAACGAAAGCAACAAGTCGAACTGAGGAAATTGTAGGGAAGGGATGGGAGCAAGAGTTGGAAATCTAATGGAAGTCGAATGTCGGATGGTACCACCTACATGTACCTAGAATAGACGGCAGTATCTACAGTGTAAGTTGGGAAATACCTGCGATTCGCCGAGTGTCGAGCCCAGGCTGATGACAACTCCCCGGCTAGAAAAGAATGGGACGGGGATACAGGCACTTTGGACAAGACGTCTTGGCATTCTGGATAGAGTCGTTGTTGTTTTTATTCCAAAGAAGCCTCAATAGTAAAGTCTTCAGCTGGGGATTTTCCCACCTAAATGCTATGCTACCTACCTGTCGTGTACCCAAATCTGGTCACATTCGACGCCGGGCACGTTGAAGTCTGAAAGTTGGTAATTGGTTGATAAACTTCCGAATGCTTTCTGTTCAATGGAAGACAAATGGAAGCTTCCAAAAGCTGGGGAATGCCCTGGGATGGACAGCAAAGAGATGTGTACTCCCTAATGAATGGTACTTTGAAGCTGACTCAAAAGGGGTTCAAGTGGCTCCTTTCTGAAGTATCTTTGCAATGATTGTACATCAACGACACTCACTACACTGTAACTTGAGCTGGGATAGGCGTCCAAGCGCTGTGGATGTCACCGTGCGGGTTATCAGCATAGATGACCGAGAGCTTGGGCCACATCACCAGTTAATTGTTAGTGCAGTTCTGTTTGGTGACGGACTGTCACGGCGTCGTCAAGCATTCTGACACTTCAACATCTCCACCCTCTCCCCGTTGTCACTTCACCACTCACATCCTTCATCCTCCTCCTCCAACCGCAAGGTGAGGTGAACGCACCACACTTGGACAGGCTATGGAATGGTCACGCCGCTACAGGTCTTCCACCGCAGCGCCCGGGCAATCAGCGCCCGCGAGTTCGAAGATGCTCTCCACTCAATATGCCGGCCCCGGTTTCCTCCGGCCTTCAGTCCCAGACATCGCCATATCGGCTGTGCCATAAGCGGAGGCGTGGATTCCATGGCATTGGCTTTCCTCTTCCACCGGCTTAAGCAAGAAAAAACTCTAAACGCCAGCGTTTCCCCCAACGAGCAGTTTCGCGTCGGCGACAACATTTTGGGCAAGGTCCGCGCCGTCATTGTCGACCATGGCTTGCGCGAGGGCAGCGACGAAGAGGCACAAAAGGTGGCACATGCCATCAAGACCAAGATTGGCGACATGGTTGACCCTACCATTGAGACCATCAACTGGGAGTCTGAACTCGGCCCCGGTGTAGACCCCAAGACTCACCCAAGCATTGAACCCTTGGCCCGCAAACTTCGCTATGCCGCCATTGCGGGCGTGTGCCTGCGTCACAACATTTGTTCCCTCTTCACAGGCCACCATGAAGATGACCAGTATGAAACCATTCTGATGCGGATGATCAGCGGCCGCGGCTACCGTGGTCTTCAGGGTATCCCGAACGCCGTAGACATTCCAGAGTGCTACGATATTCACAACGTCTACCAGAGTGGTTACTTGGATGACCAAGAGTCCACAAGCCCGTTTTGGACCAGGATGCCGACGGGCAAGCGGATGAAGAAGTACCTGAAGTACAGCCTGCGTGACCAGCTCGATCCGCAAACGCTCCAGTATGAAATTGCCTATGGCATGAGGAGTGATGGAAGCCAGTACTTCAACGAGTACCAGCGCACACACCGCAAATGGGGAGACTACCCTCCTGTCCCAGAGGTCGATGCCGAGGATGGTGGCATCATGATCTACCGCCCTCTGCTTGGCTTCGGCAAGGACAGGCTCATTGCCACGTGTGAGGAGAACGGCATACCATGGTTCGAAGATCACACCAATGCAGACCCAACTTTCACTCCCCGCAATGCCATCAGATACTTGGTCAAGCATCACCAACTCCCAAACGCCCTCCAAAAGCCTGCCATCTTGCAGCTTGCGGCACGATGCCGCGCCAGGGTTGCCGCCGAGGAAGCTGAAGCCGGTAGAGTTCTCGAGCGACTATATGTTCACGATCTCGCAACGACAGCTGGGACAGTAGAGGCCGAAATGCCTAGGTTCAGACTCCCAGGAGGCCCCAGGTTGTCTCGGAGGTCCTCTGTTTGGCGCAAGAGGCGTCTTGTCCACTATCGCACCATTGCGGCCATCGTCATACGGCGACTGCTCTCGTTGGTAACACCCAACCACAACCTCCCAACCCTTGCGGATCTCGATTACTCCGTCGCGTTACTCTTTCCAGAGCTGAGGCTTCCCGATGAAAAGGAGATCCCAACACTCCAAGGCGAACCCAAGGGCTACATGATCTCCGGCGTGCACCTGGACCCCCTTATCCAACCCAATGGTTCCGTCCGCTGGCGGCTCTCCCGAGCCCCTTACCAAGCCAAAACTCCCGCCCCAACCCTACGATTATCCCAAAGCGCCTTAGCCTCGCGTTTCCTCAAGGAACCCTCCGAGTGGGCCTGGGCAGGCTGGACAAAATGGAAGCTCTGGGACGGCCGCTACTGGATCCGGCTCCGTCACCGCGTGCCCTGTCCCGTGCGCGTCGCCCCCTTCGAAGCTGTCTACCAAAAAGACTTCCGCGAGGGTCTTCTTCTCGGCCAGAAGGTCAAGCACAAGGAACTGCTCGCCAGCATGCTGAAAGCCTACGCCCCCGGCCGCATCCGGTACACCCTGCCGGCCGTGTACGCGGAGACCGATCTCTCTGGATTCATTCAGGGGAACGAATCTTACTGGCCTCAACCGCCCGAGCATTTGCGTCGGGCCGCGGCTGGTATCGCTGAGGATGACCACAGCACTCCCACCCCGGAAACAGTAACCACCAAACAACTCCAGAAACACCTGACCAAAGAACAGATACACGAACTATTGTGGTTCTACAAAGAATGGGAGGATGAACAAGCTGCAAGCTTCAGAGATTATGACGAAGTCTGGGAAGAGAGTCGGTATCTAAGCAACCCTTCCACCACTTCTCCTCAAAGCCATAAAAATCAGAGAAAGCTCCTCGCCCTTCCCACCCTGGGCCTCTCGCTCCCGGGTATCTACGACTGGGTACAGTGTGAGGTGCGGTATCGCAAGATTGATGGAGACTTGTTGCGGCGCGGCACTTCGTGGCAGCGGTTCAAGTTTTGGCGGACGCGGGATGCGGGGTTTAGCCTAAGGAGGCGGGAGACTTTGTTGGAGAGAAGGGAGTGGTTGGGCTTGAAGAGGAGGGAGATGGTAGGAGAGGTGCCGGTTAGTGTTGCCGATGCTTTTAGGAGTGATTAAGCAGGGAAGACATGTGTGGAGGTAGGAAGATGTGTGACACTTGGCTGTATGTTATGTATTCGTCTTGTGCATATGATGGTTGTAGAATCACAATACCCTCACTGTTAGAGAACTACGTAGAGGAGATTTTCCAACGGACCAAGATACTCAGACCAAACGCCACCTTCCTGGCAGCAACGCCAGTTTTCGCCCATTATTTATCCATTTCGTCCCCATTTTCCCTCTTTCTTACTTCTCTCGTCACTCCCGTCACTATTTCCTTTGTTATGCTGTCTTGACTTCATACAACCCAAACAAAGCCAAGAGGGGTAAGACAAGCCAGCCTACACTGACGTCGCCGAAACTTCCAACGCCGGCAAGGACTCGATGAAAAGGTCTTTTAGTTGGCAAACAGGGAGCCGAGCCACTACAATCAGGCAACTTTGATCAATCAAAGAAAAGTGGAGTATCTCAGTCAGGGTCAGTTGGTGGTTCTGTCGGTGGAGGAGACGAGATGGGAGATGGTCATGCGGCCGATGCCATTGACATGCCATGCCATGCCATGCTATGCCATGCATGCAATATAATACCCTTACCACGTGCACACCCGAACGGCCGCCGGCATCAGGAAGGCTGGGGATTGCATAAGGTTCGGAAATATGAGCTTATTGCACACGAGTATTGAACAAGTACACACACAAATTGTACACACACACACACCTTACTCTTTCAACCCGAAATCCCTCTCCAAATCCGCCCACCTCCCACTCCGCATCGGATCCAGCTTCTTCAAGTTTCCCAACCAGCCCTTCAGGTCCTTCTCTTCCTGCTCATTCGGCTTTCTCCCCTGCAGCTGACAGAGATAAAGGGTATAGTCGAACAAGGCCTCATAAATCAACTTGGCGTCGTCATAATCTTCCAACAGCTCCTGGATGCTCTCGATTTCGCGGCGCAGGTACGTGACGCGCTCCTCTTGCGTGAAGGCGGGGGCGATGGTCGGGTGCTCGACGGAGTTGACTAGGTTCAGCATGAGGAATTGGTGGTAGTACCAAAGGGATTGGTCGTCGGGGCCGACATTGATTGCTTCTCCTATTTTGTTGAGTTCTAGTATACGGACGTGGTTAGTTCTTATCCGACCGGTTTTTCCCATTTGGCTAACATAGTGACGGGAGGGGGTGGGAAAACTGACCTTCTTCAAAGAAAGCCTTCCGCGCCTCATCATTTGCGTTTCTCTCGTCCAGCAACCGCGGGATGAGTTTGCTTCGCGAGTCCCAGGCCGAAAAGTTGGAGAGGTTCTGTGATATCTTCTTGGTCGTGAACTCAAACTCTGACTCGACAAGACTCTTGCCTTCCAACTCTGGACTCTCCAGCTGCTCAACCACGTGCCGCCTGTATCCCCAGGCGTGAAAGTTGCGCTGGTCTCGCAGGAGCATCTTGGAGGTCAGACCCAGTTCTTCCTCCCAAATGTTTCGCGCCACAGGGACCGGCAGTCTTTCAATCACCTGCTTGAGGATCCACAGCCGGTAGCTCCAAATCCAGTAGCATTTTGGCGATTCGAGGAGGAGTGGAATGGTAAAGTGTAGTTCCTTCTGGAGTATTTGTTGGTCGTTTTGCTGATCCTGCTGTCGCGTCTGCTGCTTCTGTTCCTCGTCCTCCTCAGCTGTTGTACCACTCTTCCCAGTTGTCTGGGACTCGGGGGCGGGCGGGATCTCGGTCGACAAAGAGGAGGAGAAGTCGGCGGAAGAGGTTGTGGTAGTGGCGGTCGGAGAAGAAGTCGGCAACACCTTCGAGGGCGAGGAGCCAGGCGAGGGTTTGGACAATAATCCAGAGATTAGGCAGCGCCTGCGGACGTTCCATACTGTGTAGTACTCGGGGTTGAGGCGCAGGAGCTTGGAGGTGAGGGCGAAGACGTCGGGGGAGTAGTCGTTCTTTGCGGCGTGATGGCGCACCTGGTCCTCAAGAGCGCGGTAGTCCTTGATGCGCTCGAGGTCCTTCTGGCGCTGCTCTTCGGTGCGCGTTCTCGAGGTGCGGGCTATGCCGTGGTTCGATCCGCCTTGCTGGGATGCGTCTCCCCATCAGTCAACAGCCTGCCAAAGTACCTAGCGTCTAGACTCGAGTCCGGTTGTGTCTTACATCGGCCATGATACTGCTATCAACTGTCAACGGATTGATTCAGGGGCTAGGTTGGATGGGAAATCGGGGCTTGCTTCAAAGGGACATACATGTTCCGTAGCCTTTGATGAGGTGACGTCGGAGAGGATGGGACGGGGCAGGCAACTGCTATCAGCGCGCTATACCTACTATGGTGTAGCGTCATATGGCAATGCCGCTGGTTACCGGGAAAGCCCTGGTCTGTGTAAAGGCTTGGCGAAACAGCTCCAGAGCGAGTGGGGCTTATTGGGCTTATCGGGCTTATCGTGGATGTCTTTACAATAACATCATGCAGGAACGAACTTCCACACCCAATCCTCCATTCCTCTTTCCATCTTTCAACTCTTTGATTCTGTGTTGTGTCTGAGTGGCCCTAGATGTGCCTGTGGTTCTTGCCAACACAACAACTACTTACGTCTACTACTACCGATTTTGGGCATCGTGCCTTCTTGATATGGGAGAATGGCCAACATCCTGCAATGGACTGCAGTCAAAATGTCCACTCCAACCTCGCCGGTCTCGGCATGGTATCGTTGGGAATCACCCGCCCTCTGCCTATTCAGAGTTGCTCTTTCCTATTGTGCAGACTTGGGATGACAGACTCCGTCTTCGTTCCAACTGACCCGATCTTGCCTGCCTGTTTGACCTGTTACTGCTGATTGTTCAGTCATCTCATGAGTTCCCTGTGCCTGACTGACTTCCTGACTGCCAGCCAGCAAACTTCACTTCTTCCACTTGAACCTTCGAGATTGTCATGACAAACGAAACTGAACTTACTACTTCATCACGACCTGCTTCATATCCGGGGGCGTTCTTGCACTCACTGCACACACAAACACTCACTTCACTAGGACATTGCGCTTCATCAATCAGTTGAAATGGCCGGCGTGGACGTCTAGGTGACGCTTTCTCAGTTTCGACATCAGTTTTCCCTCACAGAAAACTGCTGACCTCAACCTCATCGTTAACCCCCCAAAAACGCCTCCTCGACTCCATCTTCTTTTCCTCCTGCTTCTTCCTAGGAACACGCACCCGGAATTATTACTACGCTTCCACCACCATAGCAGCAGCACTACTAACAATACCAGCATCTGAATACGGTTACTAACCTCGGACGGCGAATCGAGGATCGTTCGAGCACACCGACGACAAGTATTGCTTCTCGTCCAGGTTCTCGCACACAGCTCGACGTCTTTGTCGCTCCACACGCCCTTCGTTACCAGCAGATTCTCCCGGTTCTTATCATCACCATCTATCACTTCATTCAGCCGACTTCACCAAACCATCGCATCACTCCAGCTTCGACAACCTGTGTGGTCTCGAGCTTGATGGGACCAGCTCACTAAACATTCTTTTTCCAGCTTATCTTTTTCTCACTTGAGGTCTGCTACTCGTGCTATCATCAGTACCTCGGTATATATCGGCTGTATCTTCGCTATGGGCAACGACAACAGCAATCGTGGCTCTCGAGCCTTCGTTCCCGGGCTCACAGGCACAATGACATTTCACACGCCTTTTCCCCTGCTCCAAGAAGCCCAACGTCAATATCACGTCTGTGGCTCACCTTATGAGTCCCCTCACAGCTCCTCCGACTCTGGCTACGGCTCGGCTCCCCCAACTCCAATCACACCCCACAAGAAGAGGACTCTCATCGAGGCCGACTACCTTTGGAGACTGGGCGATAGGAATCTCTCGGATCAAGAAAACTTCTCCGAGTCTGACGATAAGAACACATCAGATCAGGAATACAAGCTAGAAGCCTACAATGACAGGGAAAGACGTCCTGGTGCACCCGGCACAGAAGCAGTAGACATCGAGTGTCCTGACGACGAAAGCCCTCGGAAGCGCCATAAGCCCGCGACATTACCCAGGAGCTCAGCTCGCTCTCATTCACCTCTTCTGTCCTTCTTTACTTCCGACTCCGGCTCCAAGATCCCGCGGGGCTTTAAGACCAGCCTAAGCCGCGGTGGAAACAGTTCGACCCGCATTCCTGACCGCTTCATCCCCTCAAGAACACTCTCATCAAACACTGTCGAAAGGTTTCGCACCAGCAAGTCGCCACACGAGTTGACCACACCTGAGAAACTTCTTCGTCACAATTCAGCCACTGAGGATGCATTTTCTAGTCATCGAAGAGTTGTGGCGACCAACACCTTCGATATTGGACCGCGATCCCGCTCAAATAGAGCAGCAAGTCGGAACAGAGGTAGGACTATCCGTGACCATATGTCTTGCAGAAATGCTAACTCGATTGCTCAGTAGGCAGCGTTCTCGGCCCTGTCAATACCAACGCAAGTTACCGCCAAGATAGGCAATTCAGCCTTGGCTCAATATGGGCCGTTGGTGGTCTCGCCCCGCCCGCAGAGACAGCAGTTAACAACGGCCGTGGCCATTTGATGAGGAGTGGTACAAACGCCAGGCTCTTTCGGACCTCATTCCCGACCATCAAACCAAAAGCCGAGGAAGAACTTGAGAAACACGAAGCCCGACTGGCAACTGCCTTGGGTCTTGATCGCGCGGCCCGAGTTCTGGACGTCAACATCATTCCCCACCAAAACGAAAGCAAAGAGAAAAGGTCTAACAAACCACACACACAATGGAACGGAACAGAATGGGTCAAAGAAGGATCGTCTCCAAGTGAGTATTACAAATTAATGCAAAGACAGGACACATCAGCTAACTCGAGTTTAGAGCAGCAGAAAAAGAAACAAGAGAACAGATCATTGCCGACCGCTCCTTTCAAGTATGTGGTCCCGTCTGTTCATGTCTTTAGATCATGCTAACATGCTGTAGGGTTCTCGATGCCCCCAACTTACGAGACGATTTTTACTGCTCAATCCTATCCTATTCCGCCACTTGTCGGACTCTAGCTGTCGGCCTGGGTGATCTTCTTTACGGCTGGTCGGAGTCCCGCGGAGTTCGTCTGCTCAATGCTGGAACCCAGGACGACTGCCATTTAACCAGTGTTGCTTTTTCTTCGGCAGATGGCCACAAAGCTATTTTGGCCTACGGTCGGTCTAACAAAACTTTAGGACTGATGTCTTTGCTCGACGACGCAGATCCCGCAACCTCGCGTGCTGCCCCAATTCCGCGTTTTGAGGTTCTTCATCCTTCACCTATTGCTTGCTTGAGTTGGAAACCATCATGCACCATGCGGCCCTCAGGCTGTCCCTCAACACCCGGCGTGCTCGTTGCCACTGAGGATTTGCTTGTGGGAGATGAGGCAGGTCGCGTTTGGTACTATTCTGTTGAGTGGCCGGACAGGTGGGAAGTTGAGCGTCATAACTGGCAAGGACAGCTGACGCTGCTGGCCCGCATCGACGTACACTCTCAACAGATTTGCGGCTTATCCTGGTCACCCAACGGCGATCGCTTTGCTACAGGAGGAAATGACAACCTGTGTTGTCTGTTCGAAACGCAAAAGGTTCTAGACATGAACTACGCACGCCGTAACATGGGACGCGTACGGCACACTGAAGTATCGCAGCACTCTCATACGCAAGGAGATTCAGAGAGTTCGTCAGCAACAGAGATCGCCACAGAGATCCGTACAACTCCCAGGCCCGCCAGCGTGATTCCAGTCCTCAAGCCAGGAGACGAACGGTACAGGTGGCTGCATAGAGCTGCAGTCAAAGCAATTGCATTTTGTCCGTGGCAGGAGGGATTGGTGGCAACTGGAGGCGGATCAAACGATAAGTGCATTCATTTCTTTCATACGACTTCTGGCGCCGCCCTTGCAACTATATCTGTGGCTGCGCAAGTCACAAGTCTGATCTGGTCCACGACCCGACGGGAGATTGCCGCCACCTTTGGTTACGCTCAACCGGAACACTCGGTGCGGATTGCTGTATTCTCTTGGCCCGACTGCCGCCAAGTTGCTGCTATTCCCTGGGCTGGGGAGCACCGAGCTCTCTATGCAATTCCTTATCCCAGCGGACCTAATGATGCTCGCAAATCGGGGAACAGCGGAGGTAGGGCGCGAGGCTCCAACCGCACCGCGATGGAAGGCTGCATTATGGTTGCATCGAGCGATAAGAGCGTCAAGTTTCACGAGGTATGGACGGCGGACAAGAAAGCCACAACCGGAGGGGTGGGCATGCTTGGTGGCAGTGATATCTTGGAGAGCTTGGAAGGCATCGATAGAGAAGGTGACGTGATCCGGTGATAAGCAAACGAAACTGCCGGACGTCACGAAAATGGATGAGGTGCAAGGAGGTTGAAGTGATAAGCTACGAACACAAAGGTTAGGAATGGGGAAAAGGATTTGAAGGGGATCATGAGAATGAAGCCAGCATGAGGACGCTTTGAGAACCGCCCTGATATTACGATACCCTCCAAAAAGCTAACGGTATAGTGGGTTCGTGCTGGTGGTGGAAATGTGGGTAGGTAGGTAGAAGCACGTAGTATGCAAGCTCTGAGTGGGAAAAGGATGGGTCAGATTGAGCAGTATTGAAAACAGTACATACACAGCAAGCAGTAAATTGACGTTTATTTCCAAGCCCGCGGGCCCGACGCTGGTGTTTTTCAGGGTGCATTGCTAACTCACATTCAGAACTCCCAACTCTGATGTGTCGCTTGCGAGCTTCACTGAACACGAACCATATCCCAGGACCAATTTTCCATTTCATCCCGCCCGGTCGGCAAACTGATTCCAACGTGGTTGTCTAGTTGTGCGTCTTTAAAGTTCAGTTTTCCTGCCTCCGGAGAAAGAGCCCTCCCCATGGAGACCACGAGCATGGTGACCATCCTGTTTCCGAAGCCCCCAAAAGCCGGGCATTTGTGGGAGCCCAGAGAGAAAGGGAAGTAGGCTTTTTCCTGGAGAGGTGTGAGATTGTCAAACCGCTCTGGTCGGAACTCAAGAGCGTCACGACCCCAAACATTGAAGTCCCGATGGCATGCCTGAACGTCTGCTGATTTTAGAGGTCCAGGGCCAGTGGCGGCACGATAGATGCTGTTGTTGGACGGATATAGACGAAGACCCTCCTGGAACGTAGGCAAGTGTTAGTGACGAACTCCTAATCAAGTTTTGAGCTGGGGACGTACCATTGCTAATTTGAGTGCCTCTTTCTCCGTAGCAGCGTTTCCCAAACAAGATGGAATGTCTTTAACTCTCTTCTTCAAACTCCGCTTATCAAACTGCCTATAATACGCAGTGACGTAGGTAAGGAGGACAACCCGCCACAGTGTCTCGTATTGTGGCATTATCAACCCAAGTGCTTCACTTGGGTCGATATAGGTATCTTTTCCTGTACCGTTCTCTTCGGCGACTGACGTCTTCAGGTTGCCAAAGAGCATACCCAAATCATGGTTTAGAGAGTCAGACGTCTTTACCGCCCCGCCATCTTCCTTGCTCTTCAACCACTGCGCATTGATTTCATCAGTTATTCGCTTCACCAAGTTCTTATCAACCTTCTTGTCGTCCGCCCCAAACTGCGAAACCAAGACGACAACAAAGCAGAGACATCGGACACACTCGGCCAAGCCAATACCAGTCCTTCCATACCGCGCCTTCTCACGCTGGAGGAAATCCATGCAAACTCCATAAAGCTTCTGCCAATCAGCTCTGCTCTTGTTGATCGATGCACTCGCCAATTTGCGGAACTTCTTGTGGACAGAGACCGACGAACTGGTGAGCGACGTGTTGATCCCAAACGCCGCAACCAGACGGGAATTGGCTAGGGCGCGGAGACGAAGGCGGTCTTCCAACTCGACTTTAGGCCCGGCATATGAGAAGTCAATAATGGAACGGGCGTCATCGATGCGCTGGTTGGCTCGTGCTTGGGCTTCAGATATTTCGGAGGCGGAGTTTGAGTCGTGAATTGCCGGATCGGGAACAGTCAAGGGGTCGTAAGGGTCGAGAGGACCAATAAGGCGGGCGAGCTGGATGGTGTTGAAGATGGTTTGGGAGAAGATTTGTTTCAACAAGAGAGTTTGGTGGGAGAGGACATGGTGGAGCACGTAGGCTATGAGGAGGGAGAAAAGGGCAAGAAGGGCTATCAGCATTTTGGCTGTGTTTGTCGCTGAATGGGGGATCGAGAGGCTGTATGAATAGTATCTACTAGGAGAGGCCAAAGTGCTTGACTGGTAAAAATAAACTGGACATCCGAGAAGGGGATCGAGGTTGATATACCCATCCATCGCCTCATCTTTCACAACATTTCACCCTCTCTTTCCCTTCGGCCGTCTTCCATTCCGCGCCATGAAGAAACACAGTACGCGGTTCTCGACATACTCTCCGTTGCATGAGAAGGGTTACTTGCCGCTTGAGGCCCGGCCGTCCGTTTGATTCTGAGGCTGACCAGGAGACATCGTGGTCCTTTCATGCCCAACAACCATGTGTGGGGGAGATTTGGGAGCTTATCTCCATCCACATGAAGGCAGTCAACAAGTGCAGAGGCATGCCTCTGGGATCCCAGAAGCTGATTGCTCCGAGGATGATTATGGGCGAACAAACGGCCAGTGAGAGAGTGGTCGCCTATAAATCCTGTTCAATCATGAGGCACGCAAGTCTTGGCACGGGAGAGGCCTACTGCCAGCACACCAAACACTCTTGCATGTGCACTACTGGAAAGAAGAGTTCTACCTCCATTACTACTTGATTCGGGAAAAGAGAAGGCTGGCGTGTGTAACGGAAGTGTTTGCGGCTCAAACGAAGTTTCAATTCGACACTAAGAGTGTGTACATGGTAGTGCCGGCGTTCACGGCTTGAGATGTTGGGGTTAGTGTTTGTTTTGGCAGAGGAGGGCAAGTTGAAGCAGACAACTCCTGGACTCAAGAACAGCAAAATGACTGGGGAAAGCCAAGAACCTCTTTGGGGCTGGTTTTATTTACAGCATGTAAACCAGCCAGGGAAATTTTTGGGAAAAAAGAAGAAAACGTCGAGTGACATGATAAACCCAAGTGAGTTTGGGTGACGTTGGATTACTTTCATGACAAACAAAACAAAGCGCAATCTACTCCAGGACACTATCTCGGTTCGGTTTCTCTTCTTCGAGGCTCGGTCAGACACTGTTCACCCGCCTTACACTCACTATAAACTTGCAAGTGAGCAATCATAACAAGCTGAGGATGTGCGAGAAAAATAAAATAAATAAAAATAAGAGAAAAAAATGTGGACTTACAGCTACCGGGTTCGAACGCGTAGCGTACATGAGAGCCGGGGAGAACAGGAGGAATGAGGGGGGTCACACAAACGTGCCCGCTGCACCAACCTACCAGCTTGCCACGGAAGTCACCTCGGGAGAAGTGATACATATACCCTACGACAAGGGCTGGATATGCAGTTCAAGTCTAGATGCTATCGACAGAGATCTTCACATTTTTTTGATATCGTCGGCCTGATACATTCTTGGGTCCCTCGAATAGCCATATCAATCACTCCCTCCTCCGCTCAACCTCCTCCTGATGGTCAATCAATTTGAACACCACTGCTCTTTCCCAAGCGTCTTGCATTTCCACAACGCGACGGTCTACTCTCACCACACATATCCAAACATACCTGCCAATCACATGTGTAATGGCGGTCAAGGTCAATACATTCCTTGGTTCAACTAAGTTCTTGTCATCACTAGAATGGTTTCATCCCAACACCATCTAACCCAGCACCACCCCTTACGTGGGTTTCCCCCTCGAAATCCTCAACTTCCTCACCTCTTAGGATGGTACCTCACGAACAACTCCACCAGCCCCAAGTCCTCTATCGTCACTCCCTCCTCCACCACCAAAATATTAAACCGCCAAAAGATGTTGCCCATAGTTGAGAGCAGCTCCGCCGTCGCCAGCGCCTGGCCCGAGCAATTTTCACTTCCCTTGCCACAGGGTACCATGCAACCGGTCCTACAAACGAATTCTTTCTTTGTTTTCTGGGGTACCCGTACGAGATATCTATCGCTCTGGGTCAGAGTCAAATACTGCTGGGTCTCCTCCTCCCGCACGAAAATAACCGGGTGGCACGGGGCTACAGTATATTAGCCAGGTGGACACGGACAATAAGGCTCTTTGGGAGGAGGTGGCTTAGTCTGGGCCGATTTGATACTAGTTTTGGGTTTGGGTTGTGAAGGGGAGTGTCATTTGGAGAGGCCATGGGGGTAGTGGTGGAAGGGAAGCTGTCATGGTTAAATCCAGGGAAGTGGCGCAGCAGAGGCTGTTCAGGGGTAAAAGTCGATGATACCTCAATGCCTCCTTAATAGTACCCGTCAAATACGGCAAGTTCTCTTGCTCACCTCCAAAAAAAGGCATCCATTAACTCCTCCCTAAGCTTTGCGTCAATCTCCGGGCTATTGACAACTTCAAATATAGCCCTCCTGATCGTCGACCCGGTTGTACCAACCCCCGTCCCTGACACTTTCACCGCGTCCGAAAAGACAACGACGTCGGACAACTGCGTCCCAAACTGCCTTTCTTGATCATCATTATCGACCAGAGGCTCTAGATCAAGCAACTCATGACAAATCGTCCTCCTCTTCTTTTTTGGAGACACAAGATCTGCGTTCTTCCTCACTCAGGGAGAAGAGAGTTTAGAGGGAAAGTGACTGATATCTTTCAGAAAGCCAGCATGAGCTTATAGGTATCAGCACAATTAACAAACTTACATTCCTTTGACTTTCCACTTTGGTCCATATCCCCCGGGATTCGAGAAAGGCTTGGCCTAAGGGCCTCCATTGCGCACTACTAATCCACAAGCCCGCCATACATTAAGTAAGGCTGCTGGAGGTAATCTGGCAAAAACCGGAGAATAACGTTATCACAGGTAGGGGGGTTGGGGTTTCATGGTTTGGATCTCCTGAGGTCTCTTCTGGTGATGGCGTCGACGGTGACTTCATTCTGCGCACTGCAGTTCGCATGCAAAAGGAAGAATGGAGTACATGCTCCCACATGGACGGCATCACTCAGAACGTTATCAACCATCACGTCACTCCTGCAACCCGCAGCAGCCAATACTTGACTGGGAAATTCAGGTTTTCAGAGTTTCACATCTGAGCGAGGGACGAGGAAGATAGCGGGCGATTAAGCGCAAGCAAGATAAAACATTATTACCTTTGTGGCGGGATGACAGACAGTATTACAACCAAAGCGAGTAATCCATTATGTCTAAAAGCAGAGAGAAACTGCATTCCCTCAAAGGTGCCTGGAGTTGTTCGATAGGGGGATAACTCTTGTCAGATTTCCACAATTGCTCTCTTGAGGCTTACTTTGATTTAAATCATTCAGTAACAGGGATTGTAGTATAGTGGTCAGTACTTCTCGTTGTGGTTCTTCACAGCGATCCGAGAGGACCCAGGTTCGATTCCTGGCAATCCCACTTTTTTGGTGCCACCTGGACCATCATGACTTTTCTACTGGTGTTTTGAAATCGAGGTCTCTTGGTGTTCTTTTTTTCAGCGCGTTCTTATGGTATGCAAGATGTGCCTCGTGGCTCGATATAACTAGTCAGACGTTGATACGTAACGGCAGAAGACTTGTTTATGTCGATGCAGTGGTTGAGCATGGGAACTGAACTTCAAGCTTGTTTTCGCAACTTCGCACATACGAACAATATCTTTTGCTCAACACTGACTTTCAACCATTTCGGCCACCCAGTTCCCGTTACTGTCAGCTTAAAAATGTTATATTACCTATTATCTACAGAGCTAGGAATGCAAAGAGCGGATTTGTACGCTGGGTCTCAAGAAGGTGTCGAAATCATCATTGACCTTAACACCCAGTGTCAGCCAAATTTGACAAGAAAATACATTGACAAAAAAGGTTTGAAAAACGAAGAAAAAAATGAAACACCACCACCGATGCTCGGTGACGATGGGAAATTCTGACAAGAGTGGGATTCGAACCCACGCCCTTTCGGACCACGGAACTCGGAGAGGAGATTAAGGGTTAACCTTAACGTGGCGCCTTAGACCGCTCGGCCATCTTGCCTTGATGAAGGAATTAGAGGAGTTATTGACATTAAGGACCAACATCACAGCATAGCACATGGAAAGATGATGCGCCGCCTAGGGTTGCAGCTCGGGTTTAATCCGTCTAGGACGTGTGGCTCAGTTGATGAATGATTGCTGAGTGCAAGATGTTTATGGTTGATTGCAGTTTCTGGTCCGGCGGGAGGATGTAGGCTTTTGTAGACTGGCAATATACTCGATTCCTTAATTGTTCGAAGGTGGTGACATGAAGATATACCTATCGGTTTCCGACTGCAATGAACACTACTCTAAGACAGTGTTAGTAATAACCCGCCACTTCACAAAGAGAAAACCAAAACGAAAAAAAGACACAGAAAAGCTAAACCGGACATCTTTGAATGAAAGCCATGCCAAAACACCAAAAAAAATCCCTCAGGCATGGCGGACTGGAGGGCGCCAAAAACATGGGATTGCCAGGAATCGAACCTGGGTCCTCTCGGATCGCTGTGAGGAACCACAACGAGAAGTACTGACCACTATACTACAATCCCCTTTGTTGAATCCGTTGGCCTGAAGCAGTGACTATGAGCGAACGAGTGGAAGATGGCGAGTATGACATGGGTACTACCGGACAATCCCTGTAGGTAGGGCTACTGTTTCCAAAACCGGTATCGTAGTATAGAGTCCAGGTCGTTCCATGAGTAAACTAAGTTGCAAGTTCGAGGAGGATTGAGTCGTTGTTGGGAGGCGGCCGACATGACAAGGTGTCGTCTCTTTGCCATAGTTCTAGACCGTCTATGCCTCCTTTAGAGTCGGGCGTCGGCGATAAATTAGGCAGTCCGGTGTAAGTGAGCAGCCCTGTTGTGACAAAGTCATTCCGATTCAAACACAAACACGTGTCGACCCCGTGGTGTGTGTATGTTAATTCGAATTCGAGAAAGATTGAATGACCATCCTGTACCACAAAGCGCTTGCTGTATAAGCGACCGTTGTACATGATGCGATGCCTCACGCCAATGTGAAATTCAAATACCCATGATTGTACCCAGTCCAACAAACACAAGTTCAAGGAAAAGGATGAGAATGTGAATGAGAGGTCCTCCAAAGCCTGCCGTAGATGTTCTTCTCATGTTGGCCTGTTGAGGAAACACTTGCCTGACAAACTTGTAATAATGTCTGTCCACCGAAGCAAATGTGTCTTGGGGCATTTCCATTTAGACTCGCCCCATACACTCACTTGAGTATAATAATCAGAAGCACCAAAATGATGATCAGTGCCAGGATGATGCCCATCTGCTTTCCCTCTCCGCTGTTGTTTGCTGCCCTCGCAAAACGTCCCACCCGATCTCTTGCTCGATCCAAGGCATTTTGATGTCTATCCACCGCCCGTTCGCTCTCATCCAGCATCGTGACCTGGTTGTCCAACTCATCGCCAATTTGCATACTCAGCTCGCGTTGCCGTGAGATGCTAGCTCCTAGAGCGTCAAGTTGGGCGTCCTGCTCTTCCAGAATCCGCTGATGATAGGCGTGTATCTGAGTGTTGTCCATATCTTGCCCATCGATGGTGTCGCGATAGCCAGCTGAGTCGTCATCCAAGACGGGGTCATCGCGGTATGGAAATAGCTGGGAGCGAGCAGACTTGTTGGCGGTAGAGGCTTGGGCTTCGAGGTCACTGTTGGGTGACGAGAAACGGACAGTCTTGGAGGCACGACGTTGTATGGGCGGGGGAGTCGTCGTGGACGCGGCTATGGGTTTCGAGGATTGGGCATGGGCAAAGTCTTGGGCGAGAGAAGGGTCGTTGGGTTGGGTGAGTGTTGAGGTGGTAGCAGGCGAAGCGTAGCCGTGGAATTGGGATGTGAGGTCGTCAAACTGTTTTTGGAGCGACGAGAGCGTATCGTTCAGCGTGGAGGCCTTTCTGAATGGGTGTGTTCATTTTAGCGACTACCATTGTCAAGAAGTAGAAGAGGACCGAGCATACGCTTCGTCGCCGGCTTCATGGAGACGCTGATGCTCGGCTCGGAGAGATTCAAGACCCTCACGAAACTGGTCAAGTGATCGCGAAATGTGGCCATCTTGGGTGTCGCTCGACAGCTTCAACGTCTTTGCTCTTTGCCGTTCAAGAAGCGACAGCTTGATGTGGTCAGCGAGAAGGAGGAGGGCATTGGGATTCGACATGATGATTGTTGGCGGTGACTTGTTTGCGGGCTTCGAGACTCCGAGGTTACGCTAAGTAGAGGTAGAGGTATCTATCTTATCGTGAATTAGACGACCGAGGTGTTGTGGTAGGTCCCCGAAACAGCAAGCCGCCAATGCAATGAACAACAGGCACAGGGTATATGGAGGTCAAATGCAGAACAAAGGAACAGCTGAACGAAAGGACATGACCGTGATGTTGATGGATGGATGTCTTGTCAAGGAGTGAGGTGAGGTCAGTTGGTGGTTGAGGTAAAAGTTGGCGGTTCAGTTGTTGCAGGAACATCAGCGGGGGTTTCATAAGGCAGTTACAGGTTGCAGCAACAGCATGAGGAGCGCCCCATTACGCATCTGCCCGGGGGGGGTCAGGCCTATCGTAGTCTAGGCTCTCCTGCCAAGAAGAATGCCCATTGAGGATGGCCCGTGCACTGGGGAAGCAACACAGCAGCGAGTCAAAACATCCTCGCGTTTTTGTACTGTGTGTACTCCGTACAAAATAAAGCCTCCGGGCGTGACGCCAGCACCACCTTTCTTGTAGGCCGCTCACTTCCAATTGGTCCTCCTTCACTTCATCATCGAATCCATCCTCCAATACCCTTCTCGACATCACGTCCATGGCAGACTCGGGAGCCGGCGTAGTAGAGGTCGGAGCGCAACCCGAGGACCATGCTCTCGCGTCGGACGTGCCCGGCAATCCCAACACGGACACACACACCATCGCTTCTCCAGTGACGGGTGCGGAGACGGGCACCCCGGTGCCGTTAGCTGCTGTCCAGGGAGAGGGTGGAGATATCACCCAGGGCGGAAGAGGAGAGCTTCCTGCGGCCTTTCCCAAGAGACGCCGTGGCCGTCCTCCCGGTCGCCCGAATAGGACAGTCAAGGAGGATGATTACCAGGAGAACCCGCTGGTCAAGGCATGGAACGCGGCCAAGGAGGAGCAACCCCTGGCGGCTGTCGCCATCCGCGTTAAAGACGCCCTGACTGCAGACTCTCTTGTTCACGATACGCAACGGGCCATCTTCAACGACTGTCCCAGTCGCGAATACATCTACTTTGTCAACGGATGGATCACGGCCCGCCACATTGCCTCTCAGCGGCCCAGTTACGTCAACGGTCTGCTCATCCACTCACGCGGCACAGATGCCCCGGTGCAGTGCACCCAATGTGCTGATCGCCGCACCAAAAATGCCCTGGGTCCCTTCATAGTCTGTCGGATCTTGCCCGGGAGCTTCCATAACAGCTGTTCGAACTGCAAGTGGTTCGACAACACGTCAGCCTGTTCGCTGTATACGGGCCCTACCCCCAACCGGAAGCGCAAGGCCAGGGCCCTTTCTGCTGGACCGAATCCTGAGGAGAACACTACTACTACTACCAACGGGACTTCTGGTGTTGGTGCTGATCAGCAGAATGTTGCCCCAGACCAGACGGAGATGGCTCACCAGAATGCCCAGTATACGTCCTTGCAATTAGGCGTGAGGATGGCGGCCCCGGAGGCGGATATGGAGGGAACTGAGGACCTCCAGGGACTTGGCCACGAGCTACAAGACCATGACGCAGTGGAAGAGTCGCAGAGCGGTCAGCTATCAGCTGGGAATGATGATGACGATGATGATGATGAAGAGTAGGGATGAAAACGCCCCTATGTACAGGATACTTGTGGTAGCTAACAATCTGTTGTGTGAGCAGTAACTCTGTCGACGCTCAGCTTGCCGCCCAGCTTCTTCCCGAGATTCATGGACACAATGACCATCGGGACTAGATGCCCGGACAGAGCACCCACTGAGGCGAGAGACTGGGGGGATCGTGCTTCTCAATTCTTTATGAAACACCAATAGGGATATATCTGACTGGGTTTGGTTAATGGGTTGCTTCCCACTGGCGCTTTTCAACGTGCAGGAGTTTCTGTTGCAGGGTTTGCATTTCTTTCTTGTTTGTTTTCTGGTCTTATTTGTCTGTTCCAGTGATAGTTTGTAGTAGTGTATGCTTTGGGACGGACTTGGTAAGGGTATTGACTCATATCTGTACACAGTAGGACTCGGAAGTGGGAACACATTACGGGCATATTTCCAGACGGAACTAACAACTCAGGTCAGCGGGAAAAGAGAAGGCTCCACGATGTGATGAGGGTCGTGACCACGATATGTATGGGATTGACGGTAACCTTTTTTTTTGCGTGATCTGGGTATCGTGGGAGCGTGGGACTTTGAGTGGTCACTCTTCTTCTCATTCAATCGCTTGACACAAGAATACAGCAATTCTTCCAAGCCAAAATCACCCAAACGAGGAGAGCCCATGAGTTCAACCATCCTTCCACTGGTAAATGAGTACGGCCTTACGTCATGTTATGCTTTTGCAGGTCTAAATGTACCAACGCTCCATCAATGGCAGCCCAATCCGGATGGCATTTTATATCCCAAATCCCAACGTCTAGTCGTGGGCCAACATCTCGGTACCGAGCCGAGCCGCTCACTGCCACCCAAGATGGAAAACACAATCTCCATCAGGCATATTTAGTGTGAATAAATAGAATGATCATGGGCAAAAATTTCCGAATCCATAACTGGTGATGACTTCCGTCCCACCGTCCCATAAATTTCCGTCCTTACCGAATGTCCACGATCACCGGCATCCGGCAAACAATCCGAAGATCTCCATTGCTTTGGTAGCCGAGATTGGCCTTTCTCATCTAGCGCTTAACGCTCATTTTGCATTTGTTTTCCAGGCCCCACTACCAAACATAACTTGAGGTTACCTCTACTTGTTTGGCAACTTCGACTTTTGCTTCACTTGCAAAGAAAGTGAGGATAATGCATCACCCCTCATGACTTCATGAATGACCATCAAACAGACATGATCAGTCTGTAGCCTCTCTTTTTGCCATCACGAGAAACATCAACCTCGGCTATATAGCTGCGCCCTATCGACACCCTTGGTTATTTTCTTTTTCCAATTTTAGCTCCAGTATCACCGGCATCACATCAATTAAGCAAGCACAACAGCAACATCGCATCTACATAAGCAGCAAACTGCGACAGCGACAAGACCAGCACAGTTCGAGCACAGTTCGAGCACATTTCCAGCCATCAACCAAAACCGAAAAGAAGAAGAAAAGAAAAAACCGCCACAACTCCCAACAGCTATAACCCAAAAACGCCACCCGCCAAAATGCCCGACTGCGCTCACAAGACCTCCGGCAACTCGTGCGGCTGCACCTCCACCGCGCCAGCCGGCCAGAGCCTCTGCGCCTGGTGTCGCGACGGACACAAGACCATTGTAAAGAACAACGCGAACAGCGCCAATGAGGACCAGGATCAGAATGACGGGAATGTTGGGCCGGAGTTTTGTCGCTCGGGGTGTGGTTTCAAGTACTGAGAGATTCAGGGTTTATGATGAACCTTGAGGTCGTGAATTGGAAGATGGGGCCCGGGCCCTGATGAATGGGAGATGCTCTGACGGGGACGCAACATGGAGAGAAAGAGAGAGAGAGAGGTAGAGAGAGAGACGGAAGTATGAGTGGCGGACTTGAGGCGGGAAAGGGAAGGAGGCAAAGCGGGATGGGGATAGAGTCGGGAAGTTGAATGTAAGAATAGAAGGAGGAAAGAGACTGAGTGCAAGACGGAGGAAAGGCAAAAGGGAAATAGAGAAAAAGAACTGGCGGGATCAAAAGGGTCATTTGGTAGAGGTACACAGCAGCATTTTAAGAAGGAAGGAATACAGTGAGCGATCCGTTACCTTGAATCTGTCCTTCCAATTTCCCGCGTTTCATCTGGCTGGATGCCCTCTTTCCTTATTTCGGGCTTTTTTGCGTAAGCATTATCTCATCGTGACTCAATTGTACTCATTGAGGGTTGAGAAGGAACGGCGACACCGCGTTAGTGAGAGTGCTGGTGTAAACTAGCAAGGAAGGAATACGGGAAGGTTGGAGAATCCGAATCATTAGTAAGAAATGCCTCGGGGCCCGACTTGCAATGGTGAAATCGAATGATATTCTGTCCAATCCTGGCTCCGGACGCTGTATTGTAGTGTACTGCATCGTGGTAAGCACGAGGGTTAGGGTCAGTTTACGAGCTTTGTTTACTACCCCTGAGCAATACGAGGACTCAAAAACGTTGTAGCAAAAGATCATTCGAGCCGGCCTCCTCGTTGGTGTAACATCGAGATGGTGGTTTGGTATCGGGCAGTCGTCTTGGTGTTTCTGGAGGAAAAGCACAACTTGAAGTGGTCCGTGGGCTTCCCCAAGGGTTCTGACGGACTCTCGCTAGGGCAGGTACGGTGCGGCGTCAAGATTCGAGCGGAGGAACACTGCTCATGGTCGACTGCTCTTGCAAATCTTTGGAAAAAGTGCAAGATTGAACGTTAGTAGACTGCAGTGGCAGTTGCACCTTCGCATTATCCAACCCATCTTTTACCCCACATAAACGACATCATCTAATTTCCCCCCTAGTCATGATAATCCCTCCACCACCCACTGGGCCGCCGTTATCACATTGTCACGCACACTTCCCCCCGGCATATGGGCACATATCCCCAGCTTCCTGAACCAACCTGCTCCCTGCCCCCCCATCTCACTCTGCCACGTAAGTAGGTAGTAACCTTCTGCTTCTCCTCCACGCCCACGCACAGATTTCCAACGGCCGTGATCCACACCGAATTCGAACTTGACGCACCCTTCGCCCGCCACGTGATATCCCCCCGGGTCGCCGACCCCTGGCTGTCGTCCGATTCCTCGGCGATCCACCAGGCGACGTAGTCGGCGCGGTAGCTGAGGTCGACCGCGCGGATGTAGGCGGATGCGCGGTTGTCGAACTATTGTTTCTGGGAAAAGCAGTAGGGTTCAGAGACTTCACATCACAGGGTTCCTATGTTTGTGCCGAGCCTCCATTGACGCCGGTCCAGGGGGTGACTCCATCGACCTTCGGCACCGCGGCACCGTCATCTTAGACTATCGATTCATAGTCTCCTCCGGTGCGTCGGCATCTTGCTCGAGATGACCACCGGGAAGACTGATTGTCATATTGCCGTTACTGGTCGAAACAAGCCAGCCTCCACTTTGTCTGTAGAGAGACGACCGCCTGAGTTCCACCTGGGCTCGGCGTATTCATGAAGAACTAAGTTGTCGTCGTTCTGGAAGGTAAGTTATCGTCTCGGAAGACAATTTGGCTTTTCCGTTCTTTGATTTGGAAGAGCTGCCGGGGTTATAATGTCGCCGGTTTTGAAAGATACCTGTGTCTACTATGAGTGAAGGATGTCATAAATCGGGAACTTGAACAACTTACCATAGGGGAATATTCAGTGGTGACTGCAGTGCTAGAGGTAGATAATCGGGAGTAATCAAGGGATATACATATTCAGAGAGCATGAAAAGGATAATATTGAAATTGAGCTTCAGTCTTGTCTATCTCATACCTACCTGGCTGCCCCTTCCTTAGATACTTGTACTTCTCTTCCTCAAAACCTCACAATACCTACCGATGATAATCTTAGCCATAGGCCTTCAACGTAAAGCTGTCGTCACCGGGGTAACCCCTAACCCAATAAGAGTCCGATTTTCGACTTGGGCAGACCGAGGACACCTTGAATTGCACAGCTGGTGACTCTAAGCCACTCTCGATTGAATGTCTTGCGCCATCCTTCTCAAGGAAATCCTCGTTCGATATGTGAAGAAACCGAAAAGGGAACATGTGACGGTGCGGATGGATCAAAAGGAAAAGATGCCCTCGCTGTTGGTGTCAAAATTTATGCACGCTTGCGTGTTCACCACCCGGCTGTTTTGGTGGTAATGCTGGGCTCGTTGAACGAAATCGGACACAGCAGGAAGAGAAGAATAAGATGAGAGATGAAGGACATGTTCGGATGAAGGTGATATCATTGTACATAGAGGAGTTAGGATATTTTGACCAATACGAAAGCGAGAATTGGACTAAAGCTGTATGTTTAACTGCATGTTGATGCTTTAACTGCATATCTCTTGACCACTAAGGAAAATGCCGGCAATCTGCACTATCGGGTATCACGTGGTAGCGTGTGCACTTGGACCAGGATCCTTCGGCCTTCACTTGGATCGCGTTTCGCTTGCAACCCCAGAACCGTTATCGCATTTCTTCGTTACCTTATCGCATCTGCAGTGTTCTCGACGAGAAAGTCCTCTTGCGCGTGTCAATCATATTCAGCAGACATAACCAATCCAGACAACAACTATAACGAATACCACACAACAGAGCGCCCGCTTAGCTATCCTGCCATCTCTCGATCCAGCATCCAGACGAGCTTCCCACGAGCACCGGCGCACTGAGTATCGCGGCGACAAAAGGCCTACGTCATGCACACCAACGGGCTTCGATCCACGCTATAGCTCTACAACACACACAACCCGGAAGCGAGTTGAGGCTGTCCCTGCCAGATCATCGTCAACATGACGGTCCAGGACGCCGTCGACGCCTCCGAACACTACGAAATTTACAACACCGATGATATCCCCTCCCTTTATACCATAATCATCGACACCAACCCACGCGCCTGGGCCGCCCTGAACGATGTCCTTCCACTCACGAAAGCGCTCGCCAACATTCTAATATTTGTCAACTCCCACTTAGCCTTCAATAACTCCAACCAAGTAGCTCTCATAGCATCACATACGAACCGGGCAGTATGGCTCTACCCAACAGCACCCGACCAGAACCCCGGCCGACAACCGCAAAATCCAAACGAAGACGTCGAAATGCGCGACGCCTCCTTCACAAGTAAACAACAATCTCCACCGCCCGCAAACAAATACCCCCTCTTCGCCCAAATCGAGCGCTCCCTCCTCTCCTCCCTGCGATCTCTCATAACCGACACCACAACCGAGGACATCACCTCTACAACCACCACCCAGATTTCCGGCGCCCTGACCCTCGCCCTCGCGCACATCAACAAAACCGCCCTCCTCTTCGCCCCCTCCAACTCCGCCACAGGTCCAACCCCCTCCTCCGCAGGCGGCAAGTCCTCCGTCTCCACAACCTCCGGCGCCGGCCCAGGTGGCGGCAACGCAGCCTCCCTCCCTGGCATCGGCGGTGGCGGTCTCGCAGGCCTGCACGCCCGCATCCTGGTGGTCAGCGTAAGCGACAGCTCCCCCTCGCAGTACATCCCGACCATGAACGCCGTGTTCGCGGCAGCGCACGCGCGCATCGCCATCGACACGCTGGCGCTGCGGGGTAGTGCAACGTTCTTGCAGCAGGCGAGCTACATCACGCGCGGCACGTTTATACGGGCGCAGGAGCCGAGGGGACTGTTGCAGTACTTGATGTTTGGGTTTGGAAGCGGGAGCGCGCCACAGGGGTTGGCGGCGGCGGGGCACCAGCGGTCTCAGCAGCAGCATGGGGGAAATAAGGGGAAAGAGGACAAGGCGAGCGAGAAGGCCGTTGGCGCCGCGGCTAAGGGAGGGGCCAAGCATGGAGGCCAGAAGTTCCTGGGGAGTAATGCTAGCGTGGCGGATCTCTTGGTCACGCCTAGTGCGGACTCGGTGGATTTCCGGGCGGCGTGTTTCTGTCATCGGAACGTGATTGATACGGGGTTTGTGTGCAGTATCTGCTTGAGCATCTTTTGCGAGGTGCCCGAGGGTGGGGAGTGTTTGACGTGCGGGACCAAGTTAGCGTTGGGGAATTACGGGAGGAAGTTACCTGTACTGCCTTCAAAGGCTGCTGCTCCTCCCGGAGGAGGGCAGGCGAATGGGAAAGGGACGATGCTGAAATAAGTCTTCAGCGAGTTATGGAATAGAGTGAAGAGGTAACTGATGGTGGATGATGTTTTTGTCCTGGGCCGGGGAACCAGGCAGTCAAGAGGCCGACTAGAGGCTGGGAGGTGGTAAAACCCACACACAAATTTGCCCGTGGGATATCTATCGGAAACGGATAAAAAGGCTTGGAAAACTATATATACACATAGAGTCTGACATGCAGTGCTAATACCCATAAAACAGCTTTTATTGCAAATATCACTTTACTGGACATGGATTGCCACTATGGGATTCAGCCATCGACACCTGTCATCAAAGACTTGTCTGATTATTATCCATCGTTATATCACGTTCCCCCGACTCGTGTTCAACGTCCACCGTCCGCTCACAACTCATCATCAGACTCCGTCTCACTCCCCTCATCCACTACAGCAGCAGCAGCAGGTTGAGACGCTCTCGTAGCCGTCGCCCCCGCCCTCTTAGTATGAGAAATGGGCGTTTGCGTCTCCTTTCCCTTTCCCTTTCCTACGACAGCAGCCGTCGTCTTTTTCTGAGGGGTTGTCGTCGTTGTCGAGGATGCCGCTGCCGTGCGTTGTCGTCTAGCAGGCGGCGGTGAAGGAGGCGGCACATCAAGATCCTTCTCCCCGGCTTCTACAGTCCCATCCTCCTCATCGGGCTCACTGGCTGTTTCGTCATCGTCGCGGTCTGGGGTGTTGCGGTCAGATGTCTTATTGAGGACCTCATCTTCGTCCTCGTCGTTATCAGTGACGTCCTCGTGGTCGAGGGTTTTGCTAGAGGATGATTGTCCCATGGTGACCGTCTTTGATGATGGTTCCGGCTCTGATTCTGGCTCTGGTTCCGGCTCGTCGACATCCATCTTTTCGAATTTTGCGTGGTCGTCGTCGTCGTTGTCGTCGTCGTCGTCATCGTCTGATGATGGTACGTCCTTCGCAGCCTTTCGTTTTCCTGGTCTGGAGACACGGGCGGTTCTTGTGTTTGTCCTTGCTTTCGCTGATCCTGTTCCGCGTCCTCCTGCTCCTATCTTGCCGATCTTGGCACCACCCTCTTCTTCCTCATTCTCCTCATTTTCATCCTCATCCAATTGACTTTCCGGTACGTTAACTCTGGACTTACTCCTCGCACTCTCAATCACCCCCGACAACCTCTCCCGCGAACCCGACCTTGGCCTTGCTCTACTGCTCAAAGCTTGCTGCTGCTGACGAATCTTGGCCTTCTTCTCATTAAGCAGCGCCCTGAACTTCTGCAACAGTTCGGTCTCCTGCTCAACCTTGGACTGCGTGAGTTCCTCCAACTGCTTCTTCAGGTCAGCCACACGGGCCTCGAGATCCGCGACCTGCGCGGCGGAGGTGGACAGGGAAGTGAGTGCGGTTTGACGGGAGATGGCGAGTTGCGAACACCAGTCGAAGAGCTGGATCTCGGAGGAAGGGGAGTGAACGAGGGTTAGGGCACCAAGCCGTTGGTTGATGCCGGCTACGCGGCGACGGATGGTGATGGTGATGGACTTTTTCTTGCCCCGGGTTTCTACTTCGGCGCCGGCTTCGATGCCTTCTACTGGCGAGGCGGTTATGAAGAGGGAGGATAGGATGGATTGCCATTCTGTGGGGGAGCAGGCGGAGCTGCTGGCGCGGAGGTCGTTAATGTGGTCATGTTTTACTGCGGGTGTATGTGTTAGTTAGTCGACGGGCCCGGATCATGTAATTTCCCCTTAACTGAGGTTGTTTCTTTTACAAGTGTCACTACAACAGATGGCACGCATCACGGCTTGGTGGTGACTGCTTGAGGTGATGCACCGACATGAGCATAGCAGGGTAAATGCCCCTGCATAATGCCATGCCGCGGAGATAATGGGTGCACAAAGCCTTGGAATAAAGCAGCAAGAACAACGACAAGATTCCGGGGGACTTACGCGTGAGCGCATACGGTTCTTCACCCTCCGTAGTAATTATTCTGAGATTCAGCGGTTTCAATCCCCTCGCGGATGACCCTCCCGAGTGGACCACCTCGCCCAGGATGCAGTCATCCTCCTGATCGGTATCGGTCCGGGGGATACGGATAATCGTGGATGAAGATGAAGTCATCCTTGCGTGGCTTGCACAATAAAGTGTTTTGAGTGAGACTTGTTGTGATAATGTGAAAAAAGTGGGATGGAGATGATGGTATTTTGGGGGCAAAGACGGGATCGCCGTTTCGTGATGCAGGCTGCGTGTGTGCCAACGTCACGATCCGCGATCCGCGTTGCCGCCGCCTTGGTCCGATGGTCGTTGGGGCTCCCGTCCAGGTTCTGCCCTATGAGTGGATTAATCAACCCAATTTGGACGAGCACAAGCGGATGGTCAACCAAGCTCAGATGAAACAAGAGCTGATGGGAGTTTTGCGCTTGTGAATGCACGTAATGGTCTCAGAAGAGTACAGCACTACTGTAGGTATAAGCCACCGTTTGAAACCCTTTGACTTGGGGAGCGGATGGTGACGAATCGTAACGGAGTCGGACGTCACGAAGCGAGGTGTGATGCAGTGGTGTTGACGGTGAGCGACAGAAACGGAGGGCGGTTGGCACTCCAGCCTGCGGCACTCTGCACTGACGGCCCGTACCCAGCAATCCTCGAGTGATGGTAGGATGCGGGGAAGTGGAAACAGGCAGCTGAGCTGCACGAAATGAACGGGAGCGCGTGTTAAAGCTGAGTGCTGTCTGTTCTTGGAAAGGAAACACTTGACTGGGGCTCAGCTAGACGGGAGCGAGTCGTTGATGACGGTCGGGTAGCACCGTTTGCCGTGCCAAATGTCGTCAAGAAGATGTCTCGAAAGAAACAGTTCCGGTGTGCGCAGCCGAAACAGGGAGGATGTTGCGTGTTTGCGAGGTCAACGGACAATACAAATTAATATCATATGTGAACTGCGAGCCATGGTTTTCTTTCTGTCGGCAACAGCACCAAACAACTCTATTGAAGTCTATCGATTGGATCATGGTTCTGTTGGCGCGGTTCAGTTGGAGTCCAACAAGGCAGCAGTGCCTTTGTAGTGTAAGCTACTAGTGTAAGAAACAGAACTTACCCACCAAGCCATTCGTCGCCCTGGACTGGATATCACAGCGAATGAGAGTTTCAAGACATGCCGTCTTCAATCACACTTCAAGGGAAGTGCAGTTGAAGAATCAAGCCAATTGCCAAAAGAGGACAAGAGGGGGGACTGAGAGCAGCAATCAATCGGGGGCGCCATGCAAGAAATCACATTAGCGGCCGGCCGGCAACACGCAGAAGCACCTGGCAGTGCGGGGGTCCCGATTTCCGTTCGCGTTCCTGACGTACCAATTACATAACGAGATTGGTTATTACAGTCTCCGGAAAGAAAAGAAGATTACATCAGTCGTCATATGTTACGGTAATAACGTTGATGTTGTAGTGTGTTCTCGCTGGCTGTAGTGTAACGATGGACCTCAGCTGAGTCTAAATATATCCATGACATTGGGGCATTGCTCGTCCAGCTTGTATCGACTTGTAAATTCCCATACATCTCAGCTCGCAGCGCAGGTGGTCAAGAAACTGAAGAGACATCGATTGGGAGCACTGACCACTGATGAGTGACCACTCATCCACATTGATCGCGGAGCCGGCTGGGTGGTTGACAGATTGGCTAGGTAGCGTTTCGCACGAACACTGTCTGTCAATCGAAGCGTGCCCCTTGTCCTTGCAAGGTCCCGCTCCCTGCCACCTCAAAAAAATAAAAAAAATAAAGAAGCCATGGCCATGCCATGCACGATGCAAAACGGACCAAACACGCTTGCAAACCAGCCAAAACACACCCGAGCCACCCTACCACCCAACCCCGTTCTGCGTATGCTTTGCCCGCTTGGCACTTTATGGTCCTTTTCGGTGCGTGGTTGCCCAGGGTAGGTTGCAGGAGGCCGGCTGTTTGGTCGTAGGTGGTTAGAGGTTGTTACAGTAGTGTACAGGCTACAGAGGCCTGCGCTACCTAACCCTGCGCTAAATCTCAGCTCTAGTGTAATGTACACTTGTCTGCACTAACCCTGGGCTGGCAAGAGCCGGGCCTTGAGGTTGCCTTGGTTTGGAAAGCTTGGCTACCTCTAGGTCCGCGCATTGGACGTTTCGGCGCCTGTTCCAAACCTTGGGCGGCGTCACCCACGCAGCCACGCGCATCCAGGGCACCAGCCAGGCACAAGGCCAGCTCAGGGCCACCTTCCATCTCTTTTTTCCCCTTCGATGCCCCACTCCCCTGGCCCTCCATCCATCCCGGTCTCCAGTCTCCACTCCCCGACCACTCGTGCTTCTTCTCTCCCACTGCGACCTCACGACCACGACGACCGCGACAGACCCTGGACCATCCCGACTGCACGACTGCGGTTCCCTGCTCCCGTTGACTCTTCCAGCCACGCCATTCACTCACTCATTCATTCATTCACTTTCATTCATTTCGTTCGTTCAATTCAGGACGGGCATTCCAGTCCAGGCAGCGGGCACTGGGCGCTCTCGCTATCGTGCCACTCATTCAGTCCCGTCTGGTGCTGAGTGCATCGGTGCATGCCCCAGCCTTCCGTTTCTCTGTCTCAACCAATTCCTGTCCTCAGTTTCATTCTTCACAATCCCGCGCCCACCCAACAACAATCTCTTGTACCTCAGTTACCTACACAAACCTACCACCCACCTGTTGAACCTGAACCGCGCTACGGATTTCCTCCCTTTCGACATTAGGAAAGAAACAGCAGCAGATTCGTGCATTTTTCCAATAGGTTATCCATCGCAATTTAGTCGCTGGTCCACTCGATCAAGGTTTCCTACGACGGCAGTTATCCATACACACGCGCCGCATCCGTCTATCCATAATACAACATTTACCCGATTCTGGTACTTTACCAATTCGCTCACGGAACTTGCTTCTTGCTCGCCCCTCATTCTGTCAGATCCTGTTTGTCCCAACTGAACTTTGCCACACCTGAGCAGCAACGACAACAGAACTGAACAAGGCCCCCCAACAACCAAAACAAACACGATCCAGTCCCACCTCGTGAACCAACATTTCACACAACCCATACGCCCACGACCCGCCAACCTCGCCCTTTCCATCATCTTCATCCACCGTTCCCGCCCTGCATCCCGACACCAACGCCCTGGTCGCACTCGTGCCAACGCTAATCACTCTGCTCATCCCGGCTGCTTGGAACATCATCCGATAGGCATTCCAACTTCGGATCAACAAGGATTCGGCCGTCGCATCGCTCGTGTAAAGGGGGTCCAGGTGGAATCCTCGCTAGGGCTTTGGGATAGTGATCGGCGGGCCCCAGGGTCTTGGGTGACGACTATGAATCCTCACCACTGACTAGATCGCTGTCGTCACTCCACGTCGCAAAACGTCCCCATTTACACCAGAGGAGCCTTCCCGTTGCGACACCCCCCCGATACCACCACCCATACCCTTTGACCGCACATCACAGCGTGGACCTTGCCCTGCAGGACCAGCCGACACCGCCGGCAATGATGGAGACCTTACGGCTAAAGACTCGGCCACCGGTCGAAGACGATATCGAAAACTGGGACGATGACGACTTCCTCATCGAGGGCGACGACTTCACCATTCACAGCCACTCCACCGCGGCCAACGCTCACCCCCATCGCCGCGATTCTCACTCGTCCTTCAGGTCAGATTTCGAATCCATCCATGGAGAGGAGGAAAGGCAGGTCCACCTGCCAGGCGACGATGAAAAGTCAACGTTGGACGCCCTAGCTGCCGCCGAGAGGGCTGGCATTCCATTACCGAAAAACGTATCTCCCTCAGCCCTTATGGGAGGCACCATCAAGAGACTTGGTGGGAGGAAAATCAGAAAGATTATTCAGGAGGATTGGGTTGATGATTTGGAGTTCCCTTCCGATGCCGGCCAGTTGCAAATCAAGAATCGGGATAGTTCGCAATTCCCAGAGGCGATACGGCAGGTTAGCGGCTCGTTCCAGCCACATACTCAACCCCCGCGCAGAACCAGCGGCTCCTTCTCAGGTCGCCTGGAGCCTGTGCGGAAAATCAGCGGGTCGTTCGGCCGTCCGGAGGCCATGCGCAAAGCGAGTAACACGTTCCCAAGCCGTGCCTTAGCCCCGCAGAAACTCACCGTCAAGCCTATGGACGTAGTCCAGGTCAGGAAGGTATCCCGCCCGTCGCTTACTTCGACTGGCCTTATCGACATAGAACGCTTTCGGGACAAGGATGATGACAATGATTTCTTTGGGGATGGGACTGAGACTATCAAAGTGAAGAAGAGGCGCAATACCCTAAAACCCATCACCTTTTTAACACCCGCTACTCCTCTAAAGGTCACTCCGGATGAAGACGACTTCGAACACGATTTTGAGCTCCCGATGGACGGGACGCTTAGACTCTCGAATCGAAGAGAGACCCCCAAGCTTCCGACCCTCAACACCTCGGATGACTTCGAGTGGGGCGAAGGGAGTCTTGGAACTCGTTTCGGCGGTACCCGTCGCGACCATGCCTTCTCAACCTCATCCGTGTCAGCCTTTAGCCCTAGCATAGCAAGCTCTACTGTAGCAGAAAGTGAAGACGAATTTGATGGCATCATCCTGCCCCCGGGACCACTCAACTGGGAGGAGAGATTGCACCGTCGCCGGCAAAGCAGGTCTTCGGAACGGATTCGGGAAGAACCAGTTATTGTGGGAAGAGTCCAAAAGAAAGACAGAGAGGAGCAAGAAGACATCCTCTCTGGACTGGATATTGGCGATGGGGAGGTATTCGACTCCAAGAAGTTGACCCTACATCGTAACATCAAGGTCAAGGACACTAGAGGCGATAGCCCAAATCGACCCAAAGCTTCAGTGGCCCTCAAGTTCACCAACAAGCCCGTGGCTGCTTCTCGTCTTCCACGACCTATGGGATCGATGGGGTCGTTAGTGAGCCATGAGCGAACCCAAACACAGTCCTCGCTCGAGCCTGTGTCTGAGACAGGAGAAGCAGATACGAGGAGCTCTTCAAGACGATCACTGACGCGCTCGGGACATCATTCGCAGGCTTCTATCTCAAGTGTCATGTCCTCAGGGACATCGCAGCCCGCGCCGTCTACAACAACCACACGTAGGAACATGGCACAGAAGACGACTACGACATCACAAAAGGCTGAGCCCACCACTACAAATGCTCAGCTTCTCCGCATGAAGCGTTCGATGCCTGGTCTTCGGCCTCAAAGCCAGACACGATCATCAACAACACGCAACTACGAGCGCCCCCCATCGCGGACCGAGGCAACCCGGGCGCAAAGTTCTGTACGACCAAAAACACCAGTGGAGCGAGTGCGAAATATGGAAAGCACTGTCACTACAGGCCGGAAGGGCTCTGTCCCCTCGGTTGCTCCTTTCTTGCCGGCTGGAGCATCGGCATCCCAATCGTACAATGTCAATTCCACCAGAAATACACGAAACCTCCGTCGACATGACTCTGAGGGCGGTATCGATTATCGGCCTACCTCCCGAGGAACCTACTCCCGGGCCTCCAACAAGCGCTCGCCCAGCCCGCGCAAGCACAGATCCGTCGATTTCTTGGCTGCCGAAGGCAATTGGAAGCAGCTCAACAAGCCGTTCCGGGTTAGGAACTTTGGAGATGGCCACGAACTGGACGGATTTGACGATCTTCCCACTTCCACCCAGGCGGAGGCCAAGTATTTGAGGCAACCTGTTAACACTGGACCCAAGGCCCAAGCCCGGAATAGGCTCTACCAGAACATCGCCCCCAACGATCGAAACAACGTTACGCCCTCGCCCCCCGTCACGTCGCGGTCCCCGGCCCGGTTTAACGATTCCAACGTCCCCAGTTTCGCTCGTGATACCGCCGCGAGCCGGAGAGCCCGGGAATCCTGTCTGGCCCAGCGCAACGTTTCTGGACAACTTGCTCCACTCACGGCCCAACGGGTTGCGCAGCTGTCAACCAACAGAGGTAACCTTCACCAACCAACCCCATCAGCACCACCCCAGGCGACCATGAAGTCTTCCAGGAAGCTGCGCAAAACTCCCCAGCAGAAGCCGCACCTCATCTCAAACTTGAATCCTCCAAAGGACTCAAAGAGTGAGTGCCTGTAAAAAATGAAAAGATGGTGTTGTAGAACATATCAATGCTAACTTTGTTTGTTTAGTTGTCAAGGGCATGTGCTACAACCCAGAGACATTTCGGTGGGAAGGGAACGATAATGTGTTGCGAGCGTTTGAGGCACCAGCATCGTCACCATCGACGGCGTCAGTCAAGGTACAACATGCCGTGCGCGAGAGGGAGAGCGCGACGCCGCGCCCGGCACTGATCACCAACATTGGGACGACCAAGGGCGTCCAGGTGGTCAAGGGGATGGTGTTTGATCCACAGAATATGTGCTGGCTCAAGTTGGGTCCACAAAACGACAAGGCAGCAGAGCGGGGACGGTCAAAAAACGGTTCAGTCTCGGAGGCGATGGATGACGAGGACGACGTGTTCAAGGACATCCCCGACTTGGAGGACCACACAATCACCTCCACGGACGGGGGTAGCGGCAGGACCAGCGACGTCAAGGATGACTGGCTGGTTGGCGAGGAGTTTGATGTCGGGCCAGAGTTTGTGCGTCGGCAGCGTGAGGAGGAAGAAAGGTGGAGGAAGAAGTGTCAGGCGTGGGCGACGGGGAGGTCGCAGCGTGGCGAGGCGTGGAAATGGGCTATTCGTGATATTGTCAAAGGGACAGTGGAAAACTAAAGGATACCCCCTTTTTTCTTTGTCGGTCGGTTCGGTTAGGTTGGGTTGGTATTTTGTCTATCGTGCAATTAGCATGCGGTCGGTCGTCAGGCGGTTGGCGGTCAAGGGAAAGGGTTTTTTTTTACGATGCTATGATGACTCTTTTCTCTCTTATTCTCATTTCTTTCCATACCCGATATGACCTTTTTCTTCTCGCTTCTTCGTCCGTCTTCGATGGGGTTTCAAAACCATATCTAGTATAATTGTGGGTGATGCTGAGAATAAGCCCTGTGAATCGGGAGGCTACACCAGCACTGACGTTGTAAGACTACAGCTGTATATTGTACTATAGTACTGGGATGAGTGGCGGGTTGCGGAAGCGCATGAGGAAGAGAAGGGTACGCGGTAGTGGCCTAGCAAAATGCTAGATGGTGAGAAGACAAAAGACCGTGAAGGGGATGAATATGAGCACAGAGGCAGGCCATAGCCATCAAAGGTATGGATGGGTTGGCTGGATGAGGTTGAAAGACAACGGCATATAATGGCAAGCACTGGGCGACCAGCATTGCTTTGACATCTACATTTAGTTGTTTCTGAGATATCTATCATCAATTAAAATCGATGGCGGCAGTAATTTGACTGCGAGGCCAACGCACCCCATGAGAGATTTCAGTCAAGAATTGTGAAGTGGGATGAATAACGTGAGCACAACTGTCAAACGGCTTCCGTCATAAGAGCTCCCATCCTTGAAGCATTAACAGGAACAGAAAGAGCTACCCTTGTTCGGACCAAGTGAGCGCTGCTTCAGTTGCAAACCACAGGTCACACAGGCTGGAAGTCAAGAGAAGCATCTCCGATAAGATAAGAAAGCTTTGACCCCACTTTCATCTCCTTCCCCCTGTCCGCCAGGCCCCACCCCGGTCCCCGTCGCCGTCACAGAGGGGAGCTTGTGGCAGGAGCACTGACGTTGTCCGATAGGTTCTAGCAACACCAAGCGTAAGTAACACCAACAACCACCTCGCGAGAGATCCATTACAACCCGTTGCGTCGGAATCACACACGCACCAAAGAATTATCCGTCGTCACCATCACGACGAACACCAACAACTAAAGACAGCAGCTTTGCGCGCTTCCAGAAGCTCCAGGGCTTGTTGCGACTTAACAACACCATCTCTACGTACGAATCGCAACAGCTACTTGCTGCCAGCCCATCACAATGGCCACCGAAGTAGCCTTCGCCAAAACCTTCTTGGCTATCTTGGACACCAAGCCGACCAAGATCTCGGCCGATCACGTTGAAGACCCTAGGACCTATCCTGCCAGTACTCCTGTGAGTTTTTTTTTT